TGTGGATCTTCTCTTTGCACGTAGTAATGGCCAAGAACATTAATCGATATGGCACAATCATTACAAACAAGATGACAAGATCAACCTTCTTAGAATGAACCATTTCAACTTGCCATGTTTGTCTCAGAATTTCACTGCCACTCATAATTCTTCTACTTCCATCTTCATCATCATCAAACACAAATGTTAAACTTTCAAATTCATTCTTGAACAACCCTTGAAAGGCATACTTGTGGAATGAAACATAATACAAAGGGTATCTCCAAACAAGCTATGGAAGATCATGTGGCAATCTGTAGAATCCGCCAATTAAAATCATAATCACTTGAATTCCACCAACAATGATCATCCCCATTATGAAATTAGAGAAGATACTCCCAACAACCACCATGAATCTCTCAATGGACATAACAGTGGCAAATAGCACAGAAACTAAATACATAAGGCGTCCAACCTCTCTCCTTTGGATACCTAACTCGGCAAAAAGAAGAAGCTTTCAGTGACAAGTTGAACACAACATATATAATGGGACAATTATCTTTGCTGATATACTACCTTTTGTCCTTAATATAAATGTCAGATAACTAATTTGCAAAAATTAAAAAAATTAATTAAATTAATTATTTTTAATAAATTTGTCCTAGTTTCCCTATACTATGCTATTTAATCATGCGTACCAGAGCTGTCCCTTGATTATGAGTCTTTTTAATATGTGCAATTAATATAGATATTTTGGGCAAAAAAATTACAAATTTAAAAGTCAAAATGGATTGAGACGTTATATGTAGGATCAAAGTGAATTCTTTGTCGGGCTATTAGAAAATAAATAGTAATATACTCCCTCTGGTTCAAAATATAAGCTAAACTTTGTTGTTGGGCTTTGGTTTTTTTATAAGATAATATTCAATTTTATCTAAATATTTATTATTTAATGAGTTTTTTTTTTCAATTTTACCCCTTATATATTCTCTTTCCTTTTTGATTTATTTATTGCATGTTTTACTTATTCTCTTCATTAATAAGGGCATATTTGGAAAAAAAAATTTCCTTACATATTTATTGTTTTAAACTAATTTTATCTAGTTTCTTGATAAACATAAATAGATAAAGTTTAACTTATATTTTGAACCGGAGGAGTAATTCATTGTGTATTTGTATAGAAAATTCTAGGAAACTATTGTTATGTTGGTGCTGCCTTTTATCTTAACACGTGTCTGATATACAACAATTCTCTTGTATTATATTCTTCTGATCCTTAATATAAGACTTATTTAACTAATTTGATTTGATTAAGGCAGTTAGGTAAGTTAGTTAATTATAAGAAAGATGACATGTTTTTCCTAAAACACCATAATCATCTTCCTTAATATCCCCCTCTCTCTTTTACTTAATTATAATTGAGGAAGATGTATAGGGGTAATTTAGAAAAAATTAATAAATATGAAAAATAGGTATTATATTTAGAAACAAAATTAATTCAACAAGTAGGTCATATATTAAAGATGGGAGGAGTATATACCCAATGAATGAAGAGCCCGATATGTTGTAGTGGTTTGGAATATTCAAACACTTTCTCTTGTCTTTTTTATCTCTAGTTCGTATATTTAGGACTAGAGATAATGGCTTGTATATTACATGAATATGATAAAGTACCACATTGAGCAATTAGAAAATTAATCACGACTATATAAAAGGGCAAGGAGAGGAATGTTGCCTTCATTTCCTCCATAAGTGGAGGCAATCCACCAATGAGGGTTATGAAAGTAAGTACTGAAAGAAAAAAAAGCTAGCAGCGACTCTCTAGCCTGCGATATTATTGCATTAAATGATGGATGATGTTAATTAACCATAAAATTTTGTCAAGCCATACATAATCTGTCTTGGTTTATTTCTCACTTTACCTGAATAGATCCAATACCTGAACCAATGTCGTAGAATATAGTACCAAGACTTGTAGGTATTGCAGCATACACAGTTAGGCGTAACCGGTAACTGCTCAGATTACGAAACATATGAAGTGAAGATCTTCTTGTCATAATGAGGCACTGGGTAAAATGTCCAGCATGAATTCTCTTCTTCTCTATTGCATCAGAATCCTGAAGTTAATGCAAAAGTTAGTATTTGTCTGTATCAATCTCATTGGTCTTTGATATTAGAAAACTTGAACTTCATTGCTGTTCAATGTATAGTTTTGGCAAGAAGTGTGTAGCGCTGAACTTACACTGTCAATTATTTGTTCCACTTGTTTCCGAATTTGTTTGCCCATTTTCGATGACATGTAGAACTTTACGAGGATATTTATTGCTTATTCTGTATTTACTCCTTTACCAAAGCCTTCTTCAGGATCCTGCAAACGGTACTAAGGGTCCTAGGTTTCATTGTACACAAGGATATCTGAAACTATTACCTTATACCTGGTCAAAATCTTTGTTTATGATCCTTGAGAAATGATCAGAAGGATTGTACAGATTTGGGCATGGAAAAGTGGAAAACCATTTGAAGCAAAAAACTAGAGTCAATCAAAGAAGAAATTTTGTAGTCAGCTGCAAATCAGTTCTTGAAATTTTTGTGTTTTATTTGGAAACAATAAATGATGTAAATAAGGATATATCTATCTGCTTTAATTTCTAACCTCATTTGCAGCCGAAGCAAGGCCAAAATATACTGTTTCCCCAGAAGACAGAAGACAGAGATTGTGGAAAAGTAGAAAAACTTCACTGCTAGGTTGATGTATGGATGCTATGATAGTCCTTTGAATGCCATCCCTTTGATTTAGACCGGCAATTCTGCTCATAACATAATAAGAAGGTGCACCATCAAGTCCGCTGGTTGGTTCGTCAAGGAATAGAAGTCCTGGGCGTGTTAGACCTCAATTCAAATGCTAAGTCTTCTCTTTTGTTCCCCACTGACTCCTTTAGAAGTTCAACCTCCAATCCTTGTGTTAATGGCTTCTTGGAGACACATTTCTCTGAGTATAAAGTTTGCTCTCTCCTTCTCTTTTATGGACATGGTATCAGGAAGTTGAAGCTGACATGAGTAGTATATATAAAGCTTCTCCAGCTGCTAAAGTCGACAAGAGAGCATCATCTTAACTGACATATGCCTGTGATTTTCCATGTTAGTGAAGCTCTTTTCTTATTGAAATATTTTGGAATTTGGAGATATAGCTTATGGAATATTCTCTTACAGATATTCCATAAGCTAGTTCTTGTTTGTGGCCATTGATAAGAATCATCCCAGTTTGCTTTATCGGTTTCCTTTTCTTTATTCCACTTCCAACAGTCACCCATAAGTCCTCCTATGTCATGAAAATGCCTTCATATGTCTCATTTCCTTTGCTGTTTTCTGTGGGTTTCATGACTAATAAGTTATCAAATGATGAGGTAACAAACTGATCTGCATTTGTTTGCTGGGGTTCATCTCCAGACATGTTGTTTGGTGCAACTGGTGGATGACGAAGGGAAGTCATGTAATATCTATAGTTTCCAATTTCTGGGTAAGTTGTTTTGATTGTGAGAGTCACAAATATATGGCTTCAAGGTGGGTATATTACTTATACTTGGCATACTTATAATTGAATATGCCTTGTTCCAGCTGAAAACTTTTGAGATAAATTTGCACCTTAATCTTAGAAACTATATGTTGATAATGCTTCAATGCAAATGATTAAAAAGAAGGCTACCTAAGGAATACTACCACATACTTTTTAACAAATAACTAATTTCTAAGATCTACTTAAATAATTTGAGCAGATTAATAAAATTAGTTATTTACAAAAAATATATGTTAATTTTTCTAAAATACGCTCTTAAATCATTTGTGTTGAAATTACTGTGATGCAATTTTTCTTAACATGTAAAATTAATAGAGATAGTTTGGACAAAAATGGGAGAAAAAATAGATTGATACCTTATATCTAACATCGAATTTAATTCTCAACTAACTGTTGTACTAAGTACGACTGGATAAGAGGTATTCTATCATTACTCATTAGAACCTTTTCCCCTAAAACCGATCAAATGCATGGCTCTATTGTAACTCTAAACTCAAAACACTGTTTATAAGGGATTGGTAGCTTAGGGGGAGTTTGGAACATTTAGAAAAAACTTTCATGTAAATTGAGATAAAACTCCTTTCACCTACTTATTTCGAACACTATAAAATGATCCACAAAGCTAATTCAAACACCCCTGAACTTGAATACTTGGGGCTGCAAACTTTTGGTGGATTAATTAATTCCATGCACAACCAATGTTTCCATCTCCTTGAGGTTTTGTCCCCCCCCCCCCGGGGGGGAAATAAAAGAAAAAGAAACTAATGGCCTGAAGTAAGACCACTTGTAGAGAAACTTTCACGCCACTAAATTACAGATTCATAGGTTGTTTTCCTGAGAATGTGTTACGAAAGTAATGTGCAGTTTTTAGGTTGAATGCCCACATGTGCTCTCTCCTACGAACAATTCAAACGCATTCTGCCCGCCACGTCGCGATGTATGAATTTTCTTAAAATATTTTGATTTTTTTTAAAAAAAGTCATGATTCGATTTGTTTGTAGTGGAAAAATATTTTAAATTTTGTACATAATAATTTAATAATGAGGTAATAATGATTTTGTAAAATATTAGTGTTGATTTTAATTACTTATATGTTAAGAATTTTAGAAAAAATCATAAAAAAAGACCTTAAAAATAGAAAAATTATAAATGAGAACCTGTTAAAATATTAGCATTAGTTTTGACAATATTAATAAACAAATGATAAGTATTTTTATGAATGGGTTACTGTGTATAATTTTTCAATTTTTAAAATATTTTTACTGTTATGGCTGATTAAGGGGAATAAGGGGACACAACTGCACTCTTACGTGGCATTATTTTGCTGGTTCGGATTGGATTGTGCTTAGATAGGAGTTGAATACCGCCTCATCCAGAACAGTGTAAAATGGTTTCGCTGCCACTCCTCCACAAGTTTTACCGTTTGTTCCACCTCCTTCTCCTCCTCCTCCTTCCAGTTTTCTCCATTTTTTGTTCATCTCTTTTGTTAGGCGTTACTATAGGAATAGAGGGAAAGAGCTTGGAAATGCACTAGTCTCTGTAATGTCTTCCACATTCTGTAACGTCGCTGAAGGGTCTGCTCTTCAGATTCAGAGCTGCTTCATTAAAAGGCAAGCTCTCTCTCCCTCTCTCCCTCTCCCTCGCTAAATTTAACACACATCATAATTGAAATATATTATAAAAGTAAATTTGAGTTGTTGCAGAAATCATGATTTCAATTTTGTCAACCATCAGTTTCTGTAAAATTCGATTGAAGCTAGCAAACATTGTTGTTCTCTTACTCTGAGGGGGGAAAACAAGCCCCTTTTGCGAGAACTAGGATTTACTGGAAATGATTATGTTCCAGGAACTGTGTGAGCTCGAAGAGATCATCTTGTGATGTAGAAGGAGTGTTTTATGGGAGATATAGAAGTCAATTGCTCGTCAAAAGAAGGCTCTGTTACCCAGATGTGCTTCGTACGGTCAAAGCAGACTTGTCCCTTTCTAACTCCATAGAAGAAGCTGGAAATGAGGTTGAAGAGAAGATTCCAATGGGGGTTCTGATTTGGAGGGCAATCAAGTTGCCCATATACTCTGTTGCTTTGGTTCCTCTCACTGTAAGCTTCTCAACTTCAAACCATATGCTTGCTGAAGTCTTATGCATCGACCGTAAACACTGACATTTAAAATTGAAAAGAAAAGAATGAGAAAATATATGACTATGGGATGGAATGCAACTTTTGCAGTTTGCAGCTATCGATTTCACTATTTATCTGTCAGTGTAAAAGTTTAACTTTGCACAATTTGTGGATGTGTGCTAGTATTTGTATCATGCAGTAGATCAGTACTTTCAAGTTGAATTGCAATGGCAATGTTACTGAGTTATTATGCTTGGTCTGAGTTAATACTTCATACAAAAGATTGAGCCTTTAAGTGAAGGGCATATAAATGATTTTAGCATAATCCTTAAGTCATCCCTTCACATTTAAAAAAAAAAATCCTCCGAGAGTTTAAGCTTTAAAGTGAAGGTCTATGAATAGATTTTAAGGCCATCAGCTTGACGATGATGATGATGCAGCCAATGATATGCGAGAGCAATAGTAAATGGTTGTAGCAGTCGTAGATTTTGGTCAAATGAACGTCCCTTACTTTCATCATGGAGTTTATGAAGGTGAATTATAATTGTCATTACTATTTCCTTGAGCTATTCGTCTCATTTTATTCCTGTTATTGACAAATAGGTAGGTAGTGCCGCGGCTTATCTACAGACAGGCCTCTTCTCATTTAGATCTTATTTGATGCTGTTGGCCTCCTCAGTTCTCATCATTACCTGGCTCAATTTAAGGTGATTTTCAAAACTTTTAATAGGAGTGCCCTCTGATCATTATGAAACTCGCTCATCGTGAGAACTTTTGGCTGCAAATCACAAGTTTAGGAATCAATCTGAAACATTAAATAACATGGAAACCAGCAAATTGTCTTCCTTTAGTCTTGAATCATTCTGCAATATTCTCAAAACAAGAAAGGACCTTGTATACTTTCTGATATTTTTCGGAGCTAAATAGTTTCTTATATTTGGTCCATGGCAGCAATGATGTTTATGATTTTGATACTGGAGCTGATAAAAACAAAAAGGAATCAGTAGTCAACCTTCTTGGCAGGTGAGTGTCTTACTTATATTTCTTATCTATAGTTTCTTCTTCTTTGCTTCAGGGCCCGTTATAGCATAAAATCTGATCTTTTATTTATTATTTTAATTGAATTTGGGAAGCCGAACTGGAACCTTTGTTGCTGCCTGCTTTTGTCTTGCTCTTGGCTTCACGGGGCTAACTTGGTCTGCAATGAAGGCTGGAAATATGCAATCAATTTTGTTTCTAACGTGTGCAATAATTTGTGGCTATATATATCAGGTAAAATATTTTCTGTCAGCCAATAGGGGTTAAGTCAAGTGATAAGGACTTGATACCCTTAAGTGAGGTTGTGGGTTCGAATCTTTGTGAACAGAAAAATTATATTAGGAGAGTGACTTTTATTTGGACTTGACAATGCCCAATTCTGACCTGATAATACCATATTTCAGATTATTACGTTAGAAAATACAGAATATTTATTTTCTGTCAATATTAAGTTCATATTGGATTTCAAAACCAAGTGAGAGTAATAATAACTTCCAAATCCTGTGATTGATTCATTTGGTGCTGCAGTGTCCACCATTTCGGTTAAGTTACCAAGGATTGGGAGAGCCATTGTGTTTTGCAGCATTTGGTCCTTTTGCTACTACAGGTTTTTATTTATTACGGGGCAGTCAAAGGTTATTTCTCTCTTTACATCCATTGGTGCTTTCCAAAGTTCATTGCCACTCTGGTTTAATATACTGGTCCAAAGAGATTTAACGTAAATCCGGTCCACTAGACATGACTATTTGTGATTGACTTGATTTATATGCTTTTTACAGACAAACATCAAAGAATTTTACAGTAGTCCAATTGTACTTTTCCTATGGGTTGCATAGTTATGAACATTGACCAGTTTTGCAATGTCCCAAATTTTTTGCTAGTGTAACTTCACAAATGAGCCCTATAGCTCCTGTGTATGTTCCTATTATTGAGCCTCATCATTTTGAAAGGAAATTGACCTTTATAGATTTCATGTATGTGGAAATTTCATAGCTTGCTTGCTGATTCTATGTAACTTTGATAGTGTGATGAACCGTTTACCCTTAACTGGAACAGTTCTTTCGGCATCAATCCTTGTAGGCTTCACAACAGCCCTAATTCTGTTTTGCAGTCACTTCCATCAGGTTACTTCCATGTCTGAATTATTTCTTATTAATCCATCTTATCTGTAACTGCAAGTTTCTGACTTTGCTTGTAAACAACTAATTTAAGGTGGAAGGTGACAGGGAAGTTGGAAAGTTTTCACCTTTGGTAAGCACTTACTTTGCTGGACAAAACACTTTCTGTTATTGATCTTAATAATGTGATAATGCAAATCCATAAACGATCTCTTTTTCCTTTCTTTCAGGTCAGGCTTGGCACTAGCAAAGGTGCACAGGTAGTGAAAGTGGCAGTCATAATGCTATATGCCCTTTTGGCTTTGTTTGGACTAAGTAGGGCGCTTCCTCTCACTTGTCTTGTATGTTCTTCTTCTAGTACTTTACCATAACTATATTTTTCCGGCACAAAGGACATTTTTCATATTCAGAGTTACCTTCACTGTATTCCCTTTTCATTCCTTTCTACTTTGTGCACCAAACAAGTACTTAACAAAGAATTCTTAGATTCATTTGGTTTATAAGGAAATAGACCAAGCTAAGGCCTTGTTTGCTTTCTTGTTTTGAAAACAATTTTTTGTTTTTTAAAAACAAAAAAATAAAAAAACTTGTTTGACTACTTGTCTTGGTTAAGTGTTTTCAAAACAAAAAGAAAAACATAAATTTGTTTTAAAAAACTATTTAAAAAACAATTTTTAGTTTTTTCCCCTTGTTTCTTTTTTTTACATTTCTTGTTTTTTGTTTGAAAAAATTGGAAAACTCTTTCTTTTTTGCTTGATCGCTTTTCTTCTATTTGAACAATTGAGTTCTCATCAAAGCTTTACCCTTCGATTTGAGTGTGTTTATTTTCAAATATAAATTTTCAGAACAATTATCCAAATGTTTTTTCCCCCAAAATTTGTTTTAAAAAATAATTTTATGAAATTGTTTTGAGATCAAAAAATAAAAAACAGAACCAAACAAGCCCAAACTTTGTCATGGTTTTCAACAACACACAATTTCAACATACTTGTATATTACTATGATCCTAAATATAAGAGTTAGTTGATAGGTTTTTTTTGGTCCAAAATATACAATTCACCCTGTCTCTTAAATTTTTGATATTTTTCCTGAGCTATCTCTATTGAATACACGTGTAAAGAAAGTTTTTATCAATAGAATTAGTTTCCAACACAAATGATTAGATTAAGCATTTTAAGAAAACTAACACATATTTTGTTTACAAATAACTAATATAATTTTTTTGACATTTGTAAATTAATAATTCAGGTCCTGCATTTAGAACCAAAGACTATTCATAATTAACTGGGTAGGTCTATTGATCAAGAAGTTCTTAAACTTGTCCAACTTTCTCAGCATCATATCTGATTTGTGCCCTTTGTTGTTGTCTGTGATATCAGCTCCTCTGTGCTCTAACTTTCCCTATGGGAAGCCTAGTGGTTAGGTTTGTCCAAGACAGCCACAAGGTAAGGAAGGAGGACCTTTGATGAATCTTTGGCAGCATTAATATATGATGTTTTCAACCTAATTATTAAGTTGTCTTTCTTTTGGCCCAGGACAATCAAAAGATTTTCATGGCTAAATATTTCTGTGTGAGGCTGCATGCTTTATTTGGAGTTGCACTTGCTTCTGGACTGGTTCTGGCTAAGATGCTTGATCCAACCTATTCTTCAAGGCCCATATTACCTATAGTATTATAGATATTGAAAATTTTGACCCTAGAATGAATTGTGTGTATAGAGAAAGCATTCAAGGAAAGGGTAAAAAATGCAGGACATAGTATTTTTATTGTATTTGTGAGACATTTCTAGTTCTTAATATAAAAGTTAGCTGAAAATTTTATTTATATTTGTAGATATAAAAATTTAATCTACTCTATTGCACAAATTTATAATTTTTTTTTGAATTATTTTTATTGATTGCGCGTGTAAATATGGATATTGATTTGAATTTTTTTTGGGACCATGCAAAAAGATTTATTACAACGAAACCCTTTGCTCCAAAAATAAATATTTTTCTTTTCAAATTACCAAAAGAAGATATATTTTCAATGCGTATATTCTCATTATACAATTAAAATTTAAAAATATTTGGCATAAATAAAACCAAAAAAAATACATAGGATATTTTTACTCTCCCCGCGACTTTTGTTCATTTTTAAAACTTCATGTTGAAATTTAATTTCAACTATATATGTACAGAATTTCCCTTATTATTATAATTGAAATGTTAGAATTCAAAATTACCATAGTATTGAGTTGCGCCCATTTTCATTAATCATCAATAAAGTACAATGGTCAAAATGTCCAAATACATAGGAAAACTGCCTATAACAGAACAATTCAGAGTTACAGACCAAAAAAAAAAAAGAGTAGTAAAACTCAAATACAATATTATATAGAGAAAGTAACACACGCATATATAATTTTATATTAAAATTAATATCTAAATTACTTACAAATGGGGCTAAATATATTTATTATACTTAAAAAAATTTAATGCTAGTGATAGAAATTTTTATTTCTTAAATAAGTGGTTAAAGGTTTTTTACCTTCCATATATAAGAAATACACCTCACTCCTACTTACAAGTTACAGACAAATTTTAAATTTTTTTAATTGTATAAAATTGGTAACAATATTTATTTATTTGACTTCATGATTAATCCGTGATTATTGACACGTTCCTCAGTTCTGACCCTTGGACGCCCTATTTTGCTTCTTTCCCGCCAAAATCCACCATCGTCCTCACACCGACCACTGCTTTTTGGCGCGATCAGCCATGGACGTCGGCGAAGACATCAACGATCCAAGTTACTGGGAAAAGCCTATGGCGAGTTTTCTCATACGTAATCACTCGGACCAGCTCCGTTGCATTGCGTCTTCTCCAGATTTCAAGCTTCATTACCCTCTCTTCGTCGAGTAAGCCACCCTCATCTCCTATTAATTCAATGTTCATTTTTGTTGATACGTCCTCATTTTTTTTTTTTCAAAATAAGTTCCTGCATCCGAAATTGAAATCTCTTTGTGCTCTTAAGTTTCGCAGAGCTGATGGATGATGACCCTCATCTTGCCCACCTCATCTTCACCGAACCCGCTACATATTTACAAATATTCGACCAGGCTGCTGTTTGGGCTCATGTCAGCTATCTCTAATGAGAATTTTCTCAGTCGTGATTTTTTCTTACTTCTTTTTTAGGTCGTGGAAGGATAGGGGAGGGAAACTGACTCGGATTTGTTTTCTGTGTTATGCAGAAAATCATATTGGGAGATCCGGGAGCAGACAAGAATTGGGTTGAGAAAAAGACGATTCATGTCCGCATCAATACAAGTGGCTCTCCACTTGAATGCCCAGGTTCGCTTCTTTCAAATCGTCAAGTTTGTTTGAACCATTCACTCAGATTTGCTGAATAGCTGTTTTTGAGAATTCAGAGTAATTAACCCATCAGAACATGACAAGCAAATTCTCTTCTAATTTATCGTCGAAAGACTCATCCTCGATTAAATTCTTCTTTTTGCTGATGTTTTCCTTTCTTTCTTTCTTTGTTTTTTTTTTTTTTTTGCCCCTTATGCTTCTGGATTTTCTTCCCTCCGATTGTTCATTGTTCTGTGTGTTTTGGTGCCATTAGAGTCTTTCCCAAGCATAGGACGTATTAGAGTGAAGCACCGGGGGATTCTTCTAACTTTGAAAGGGACAGTAATCAGGTCAGGAGCAATAAAGATGCATGAAGGAGAGAGGGAGTACATGTGCCTAAAGTGCAAGAAGAGGTATGACCTGTCCTTGATTACTTCAGCGCGTATTAAAAACATGAAACCATCTTGTATATTTAAAAATTACTGTATATTTTAGTGTTGATGTTTTAAAATAGTTGGCATACCACCTATCAATTCTACAAAATTTAGAAGAAGCTGCATTTTCCCTGCTGAGATAAGACCAACAACCATAAAATTGGTCCTTAAACTTTAAGATGTAACAAAATACCTCCTGAACTTTGGTCTAAAATAAAAACGTGACAACTTAGTGAAAATTAACTAGAAGAGGTTGCTTCCTTGTTTCAGTAATTTTCGTTGACATCAGCTAAGATTTGTTTTTTTGTGTTTGTGAGAGACGAGGAATGAAGAGGGGGGGGGGGATCATGTCTCTTGCAATTAATTATGATTGGAATAAGGTTTTCATTTTAGTCCTTGGTTCAAAAAGTTGTCTTCTTAAATTTTAAATTTTGCATGCTGATTTTGTTCAGAGGGGGCAGGGATGTCATTTTCCCCAATATTTATTGATAGGCTGGCATCAAACGTCTTAATCTGAAATCACCCAAGGCTTTTCATTTATTACACATTGCCATTACATGTATTACTTTACGTTTTATTACTAAATCTGGAGGAAGATATCTGTTTTCTGCCCATGATGCCTCATGTTCAAGTTTTTGGTTATCAGCTTACAGTACATATGTGCAGCTTCCTAGTTTATCCAGAGGTGGAAGCACGAAACTCCATAACACTACCTTCAGTTTGCCAAGTTCGGGTAACTTCTCTTCACTAAAATCTGTGTCTTGTATTATTTTTCCCATACTTTTTTCTGTTTCTAAAATTAATACTGTTGTTTACAGTTTTTAAAATCATGATGCATGGTCTTACATTAAAATAGATTACAATCAAAATATTACATTTAGAATTTTCCTGTATGACATGAAATTTCTTGTAATATTGTCCAAAACTGTAACTCAACATATGCACAGCTGCACATAGTAGGCCATTTTTTTTTTTTAGACTTTGGCACCTTTTATCATGTTTTCAATGAATTCATTCATTTATTATTATTGTTGTTGTTTTCTGGCTTTATTACTGCTATCTGACCTTTATAAAATTCAGTGTTATTGTTTATTTCCCGGGCAGAAATCTTAGCTTTTTGTTGTTGTTGATATTGGCAGGGGTCTAAGCCCTGCGGAGGAACAAAATTTCAGTATGTAGATAGTACTATAGTATGCCATGATTATCAAGAGATTAAAATCCAAGAAAGCACGCAAGTTCTTGGTGTTGGGGTGATTCCTCGTTCAATTCTTGTCATCTTGCAAGATGACCTTGTTGACATTGTTAAAGCTGGAGGTATCTACATTTTTTGTTCTTATATTAAATTTTTCATTCTCTTGAAAATGATTGTATTACGTGCAAGAGAGAACTTTGTTCAAAGGAACCTTGATTAATCAAAGAAAGGCATTACTGTCTATGCAGGATTTCCATGTTAGATTCTAATGCGCTACATGATTAGGTGATCTATGAGAGGATATGTGATTAAAACAGTTGAGGAAAAAAATTTACTTTTGTTGCTTAGTAGCTTTAAACTTCTGAGCAGAGGTGTCTACAAGATTGATGCTTAATTATGATAAGATAAAGCAGGAGTACAAGAGAAGATTGGCAAATGATTCTACCTGGTTCTGAGAAGATAAATATATAAATAGCATTTCATTTTAAAGTCATATTTTATGTGTTAGTAGGGTGTCCTTGTGTTACGTTTGAACTCATAACTGCAGTAATAGTTCTGGATTTTGTTAAGTTTCGTTCTTTTAATTGAAAGAAGGACCTTTGCTTCTTCTTTACTTGCAGATGATGTGATTGTTACTGGGGTGCTAACAGCAAAATGGTCATCAGAAGTCAAAGATGTACGCTGTGACCTTGATCCTGTACTGATAGCCAATCATGTAAGGTGAAAAGAGAACTTCTTTTTTACCGTGTTTGATGATAAAAGATTAAAAGAGAAATCTTCCTAGTATTTGGGATTTATCAGTAATTCTTTTATTTTCAGTCAAGTACAAAATCCATAATTACGTAGCCCTAAGCTTTTCTGCATTATACGTCAACCATCTTGTGATATGTAAGGTTGCGACACCAACCTTAGCATGAGTTTTATGTCAGAGGCTTCTACTGTAGATTCTTAAGAGAGGATTATTTTTTGGTCCTCTGGGTTTAATCTTGGGTATCTTTAAAGAGATTCGAATGCTCTCTTGAGATGAAGAGTTAAATTGTTTTTTTCCCCCCTCTTTTTTTGTTTGTGGTGGATTTCTTATCCTCTATTTCTGCGTCATTTTTGTATTCTCTCTTATCATAAGTTCATTTTCCATTCTGAAAAAATAAAAGAAAAGAACAGCTTAGTCATTAACATGTTGACTTCTCTCTTTGCTGCCAGGAGAACAAATGAACTGAAGTCAGAAATTGATATTCCTGATGATGTTGTTATGAAATTCAAACAGTTCTGGATCCATTTTAAGGAATGTCCTTTGAAAGGTGGTGTTTTGGTTTGGACATCTTTGTTTATTATATCTATAATTTGAATTTTTTCTATAGACCTTTGCAGAATGCTTCTTCCAACATTTTTTTATATTATCTATCAGCAACAGAACTGCAGGTCAAGGGGTAGCCAGAAAATGTTTACCCTCCACCCCCCTTAAATTGTGTCAACAGCTACAAAAGTTAACTAGGAGTTTCTGAATTATGTTTTAGATTTGAACTTAAAAGCTGTTTCAATTGGTCCAGGGAGGAATGCTATTTTACGAGGAATTTGCCCACAAGTATTTGGGCTCTTCACTGTCAAGCTGGCAGGTAAATAGTCAGACAAATTGTGGCTAATTTTTAAATCATCTTAAAAAAAAAAAAAAAAACAGAATCCTTATAAACCCGTTTAGTCTTGTGTTATTCATCAAGGATTTGTTTTCAGTTCCTTTCCATTTTATTATGGTGGATGTACTTTTGAACTATATCTACAATGGGATTCCTTGATGTGATTACCGTTAAACTTGTATTCAAGACTAAGTCGTGGGTACAAGAGAAATTTGGACAGAAGATGCATGATGTGGTGGCAAATGTAAATTTAATGAGTATAAGAAGAACTACGAGTTAGATTATTAAGAATGGTGAAATGGAGATATGTACAAAATAACAATTTCAGGATCTGATCCCAGCGTATTCCTTACTGACATTTAGGTAATGTATGAAAATGTAAAGTATTCATTTATTTTGTTTTTCCATTTAGTTGCATTAACACTTATTGGAGGTGTGCAACGTGTCCATGCTTCTGGAACGAAGTTACGAGGGGAACCCCACTTACTCTTAGTTGGTGATCCTGGTATGAGATCCATCACTACCGCCCCTATTATCATCATCTTGTCATGGTTTTTGCTGTTATGAACTTATTAGTCTTTTTACCTAACTTGCATTTTTTTTTTTAATGCAAACATATTAAATTGCAAGTTTCTGTTGCATCAAAGTGATTCTATGTCACGCAATGAAATTGCTTCAAAAAATTGAATGATTTTTTTGTCTCCAAACTACTATCCTCGGACTTGAATATGCACTCTGTCATCTGCAGTTATTTGTTAATTTACTATTTATTATTTATGTGCACCGTAAACAATTTTATCGTAACCAAATACTAATTTTTCCACATTTTCAACTGTATATTCACTTTCCTTGTCAATACTTATTATGAAATTAAAACAGAAAGTTTAATCCGAAATTTCTCCCTCACTCATTGCCATGTTGTTTTGAATTCCGCAGGCACAGGGAAATCTCAGTTTTTAAAATTTGCAGCAAAATTGAGCAATAGATCTGTAGTTACCACTGGCATGGGTAGCACCAGTGCTGGATTGACTGTTACTGCAGTGAAGGATGGAGGTAGGTTTTCTCATGATTTACCTAACTTATGTTGGAATTTGTTCCAGTACGTTTTTCCATTGCTTGTCGATAGTTCTGATGAAGTCCTCCATATCATCCACCGTGTTTATTTTCCAAGTTACAGCTTGTTATATTCGTGACGATGTTAGGATTTTCTCTATTTGGCAATACTCTTGTGTAAGTTGCCAGCGAAACATGGAAGAATTGCTAGGCTTTATAATTTTTTATTGTGGTTTTTCTTGGTGACATATGCTTTGAGACTTCCAGCATGTTTGAGAAAACTTCTCTCGTGTTTTTTATGATCGTTCAATAACAATAATTACAATAATGATTTTGAGTTGTAAGCCATCAATTTTGGTGGACTTCAATTGTATAATGCATAAAAGTCACCCAGTTTACTTGAATACGAATCTTAGTATGCGTAAATCTCATTAGTATGTTAGCATGCGTTATTCATTGCAAGGGTAATTTTATCTAATGTGTAGGAGAATGGATGTTGGAAGCTGGAGCCCTTGTTCTGGCAGATGGGGGGTTGTGTTGCATAGATGAATTTGATAGGTAAGTTTTTTCAGCGGAAGCATGCCAGATTTCCTTGTTGATGGTATTTATGTGACCTGTTTTAATTCCGATCGAGCTGCATGCCCTGTTTTTTTATTTGCAAAGAGGAGCTGGAGTTACTCTGAGGTTCTTGGACGATGCTAGTTTGAGAAGTTATTGACTTAGCTAAACAGGATTATGCTAAAAAAATTATTTTAAATAAGTTGGAGTCTAATTAAAGGTAAAAAAATTCGAATCCAGTTGGGAAACTATTGGTGCGCTTAATTTTACATTTAAAATGATCATATCTGAAGTTAATTTGCTTTAGTTTCAGTTTTTCAGTTTCCTTTTCTTAAGATTGCTGCTTTATTTTTTCTCTACATAAAATATTTTGCTTTTCTTCAAACTCCGTGCACTGAGATACAGTCTAATTAGAAAATTTTGAAATCTTGACTATTGAAGCATCTTGTATGTTAAAAAGGCCTCATTACTACAAACATTTATATGTTTTGGTTTTCCAGCACTTTGCAACTTCGTTAATCCCTGCAGGCTGGTGGTAGTTCTCATCTGATCCTTAAGTATAAATTCCGACGACCTTAAAATCAGATCATATTATATGATTCCCTAGCATGATAGCATTTATTATGAAACTAAGGTTGATTTTGTTTGCCAGTATGAGGGAACATGACAGAGCAACCATACATGAAGCCATGGAACAGCAGACCATAAGTGTTGCCAAGGTACAAGTCTGATTACATGCATAATAAATTTGGCTTTTTCCACTGTTCAAGTACCATTTATTACAATGCTTGGTGTTTATACATATTGAACTGTGAAAAGTGAGGGTGGAATGACCCGCTTCATCCTGATAATCTGCGGTAATTAACTCACTTGTATAAAACACTGCTAGTGCCCGTTCCCCTCCCCCAAAAGAAAACCAAAAAGGAAAAAATCACATTGGATTTTTAATAAAGGGAACGCTTAATTGAAACTCGAAAGTGTCTTTCATGTTTCTCATTCTATTAACAACAAACTCCTTAGACTTGACAACTTACGTAATTCATAGATGACATGTACCACGACGTCATTTTAAATAAGCATGAAAGCTTCTCTGCTTGAGGACTAATTTTGATGCTCGCCAATCACTATTAAAGGCCCAATTGGTCCATCAGACAGATGGAACCTGAAATATGATTAACAGTAGTAATACGAGTTTACGTGATATAGGGCACCAAATATTTTTATCATTGTCACGGCTAAGTGAGTTCTGTCCGCTATTTAGTGTACTCATTATCTGTTTGGCATTTATTTTCATTTCATCTTGATTATAATGTTTGGTGCTTTGTTTGAAAGTATGGCTGCTGATTAATTCTCTCACTCTTTCTCCTTGATTTGGCCAGGCTGGTCTTGTAACGACACTCAGCACTAGAACAACTGTGTTTGGTGCTACTAATCCTAAGGGGCATTATGATCCCGATCAACGTATCACTTCAACCGGGCTATGTATTAGTTCAAAATTATTTTGAATTGAAGTCAAATCATCGCCGCGCTTATTCTTCTGAATAACGTCCTTAATTTAAACTCCGCATAAACTTCTATTCAATTCTGGGTTATGCTCCTGCATGCGTTATGTTAATGCTGCTTAACTGCTTAATTTATCATCCAATTTAGTGGTTGTCTTGCTTAACCCAGGTTAGCTCTATCTGTCAACACAACACTCTCTGGTCCTTTATTAAGCAGGTTTGATATAGTCCTTGTGCTCTTGGATACAAAGAATCCTGAATGGGATGCAGTAGTTTCATCTCATATTCTTAAGGAGGTAATATGAATCTTAAGTATCATGCATAGAGTTTATTATGATTACAAGATATAATACTTACTTGAAAACTAGTATCCAGGCAGAACCAGATAGAATGAGGCAAGATGAAGATCTAGCAACTAACTGGCCTCTTTCTACGCTCAAGAGGTAAAGTATCTTTCAAGATACGTGACACCAAAAGAAAACATTATTAGAAAATACAAGACGAAAGGTGTGAATGATGTCTCTAGCTAGGATGCTATTTAAGTATTGATTATTGTTGAGCGCTTCCAGCAAATAAATAACCTAGAATCTCAATTCATTTTTTCCACATGACTTCAATCTTGTAATTTTCAACTTTGATTAGAGTTATGGTGGCTTCAAATTAATTCCCGAAAGTAATACTGAAGCTATTACCATGTAAGAGAAAAGTGACCAAATATTGTGAAACATCCAACTTGCCAACAGAACTGTGTTTCAAATGAAATCTGATCCTCACTGCCTTTACAATTTAAATCTTGATATGTATGAGATGCTTGGATGCTTATAATAATGAAGACCTACAGGTATATTCACTACGTCAAAGAAACCTTCAAACCAGTCCTTACAAGAGAGGCTGAGACAGTCATCTCCAGTTACTATCAACTGCAACGGAAATCGGGAACTCATAATGCAGGTTTGAAGTAAACATATTTTGACAGAGTTTGGTACTTAAATCAATTCTTGTCGGTTTAATTAGTTGCGATGTAGCTAGGACAACTGTTCGCATGCTGGAAAGCTTGGTTCGCCTAGCTCAAGGTATGTTGCTGAGTACTGACACAAAAGTGAAACTCACCTTGTGAACTTTTCTTTTCCCGCATATGCTTTGACTACTTAAATGTCGCAGCCCATGCAAGGTTGATGTTCAGAAATGAGGTGACTCAATTAGATGCCATCACAGCAATTTTATGCATAGAATCTTCAATGACTACCTCTGCTATAGTGGATTGCATTGGTAATGCTCTGCATTCCAATTTTACCGAAAATCCTGACGAGGAATGTATCCTTGTTCACTTTCTTTGTATATATGTATCTAATGGCTTTAACCCATCACTGGAGTTGCTGGAGAAAGAACAGCATATTTAATGTTGCCTATGCATGTTCAATTAAAATGCATGCTGCGAATTCTGTATCGTATTTACAAAATTCTTAACAGCACGGAAACAGATACTAAACAGGAGAGGATGATACTAGAAAAATTGGGAATTGATGGATCCTGTGACATTAACATCATAGAAGACTGAAAACCAAGATACAAGAGCAGGTTCCAAGTTAGGTGAAGATCAGATCGCAAAAGTATTAATCCTTGGTTGATTGTGCAGTTTTCACTCCAAAACAAGACTATTTACAGCGGGTAACTCCACTGCTTTAGCACTGAAGATGAAAAGGCATATTCTTTCTGTAACCATGAATACATAGATGCTTTGTCAAGGTTCTATGTTCAAGTTCTGTTTGTAGTTTAGCCTATTTGTTATAGTTGCAAGTGTAATTGTAGTGTAATTTTTGGATTGGATTGAGACATCTGGGTAGGTAATTATATGATGATTTTGTTCTTGAACAACTTTTCTCTAAACTTGCTGACTTTTTGGTGACGATGATGGTGTGTGTCAGTGTGTGCGCGGGTGCGTGTGTGTGGGTGTGTGCGTGTCCACGTGACTGGCATCTCTTGTTCGACTTCATGTTAAGCTCTTGAAGCTAGATCAGAAACAGCAGAAAAACGTTTCGTTGTTTTGAACTGTGATAGATAAACCTTCTACCGTCATTAATTTTCAACCTCAAGATATCAAGTTCGCTTCGATTTTACAGACTAAAATTGATTCCGGGTGAGTCCTTTACTGAAGCTCACAGACACAATCACAATATTGAAATGCCAGAATGCTAACTATAAGCCGATCATGCAAATCTCCACAGAAACAGAGGATTTCAAATCTGTAACTTCAATTCCCACCAAAAGAATTATTCATGCGTGACTGTAAATAAGCTTAAGGATTAATGGCAATATTAAAACTAACAAGTTAATAACAAATGAAAGCAGGAATCTTTTATGATGAAATGCTTATCTCAGCTGTCTCCTCAGAAGACTGTTGCTTTTGGCTGGGAAGAAGGAAGTCATAATGGCATGGGGAAAACTTCAGTTTTCTTGTCTAGCATGGAAATGAAACATCAATACAAGCCCAAAAATTTCCACCAGAAAGAGCCAACTGTTCCCCAGATGATAGCATTAACAAATGCCATAACTAAACCCATTTTGAATATATCAGGAAGATCAACGTAGCCAGCTGTCACAAAAAAAAAAAAAAGGGCATCATCAGCCACCTTCGTTGAACTTAGTGTATAAATGACAATGGAAAAGAGTGCCGTGATGAATATCAGGCAAGCCATCTCAGACGGGCTCAAGGTTACGGGTACCAACTAGAATCATATTCATGTTTAAGATATCATCAGCGGCAATTGTTGAACACATCTTTTCAATGACAATGTAAAAGTGTTCCATGAGAAATAGCAGACAAACATTCTACATGAATTAATGAAAACTCAGCGTCTTCAAAGATTGGGTTGGGTAGGTTTTTTTCAAGATCTAAAATTTCTTTCTACCCATTATAAGATTAAGAGATTAATGTTGATGAGAAGGGAGGAAAAGAGGGGTGAAGAGATACTAAAATGGTGATATTTCTTCCCTCTATTTGGGAAGCTTTCCACTAAGTCTCCCAGAAGACTTTGGAAGTTCAATTGAATTTGCACTGGGATAGATATCATGCACTGGAACCAGAAACTACAGAATTGATTTGTCCCCCCCCCCCCCACCCCAACCCCAAGAAAAAGAAGGCAAACAAAAACAATGGGAAAAAAACAAAGATACTGGGGCAACGGGCATACCTCCATAGTACACAGCAGCTTGACCACTACTATAGTGTGTTATTGCACCAAAAAGGTTAGTATTATAACCTAGTAGAAGTGCAGCCAAGATACCAGGTACACCAGCTGCTCTGTGCATGGCTAGAAATGCAGAATACAAAGCCCCAACATGTCCAGTCTGACTTGCAAAAAGGTAGTGGATGAAGAAATAAGCTGCCTGAAGAACTAGCAGAGAAGCAGGCCAGCTCAAAGACAGAGACCGAAGGGAGTTGGCCACACAATCGGACATCCAGTTCACGATACCAAGATTTGTCAACTGGCCAGCCATGCCAACTAGAATGGCAAACCAAGCCAAGGTATCCCACGCAGACTTCTCATTCAAGCAGTCATTCCAGTCAAGGACTCCTAGAACAAGAAGTATTGACAAGCCAATCATTGCAGCTACAGCGCTTGCAATCCCAAGGGTGTCTCTGCATCACCAAGAAATATTAATAGGATAAATTGATCGATACCAAAAAGAGCACCATGAAGATGTGATCAGTGGACATTCATAAAATCATCAATGGCGGATGTTTGTTCTGGAAGACATAGACTAAATTAATGATATAAGCCTGTCTAATAAGAATTAAAATTGAATGTTGAACAAGTCCTCGAACTTCGGCAACAAGAAGCTAGACACTAGATGGCTAGAAAAGATTATATTCTATTTTGCTTCTGTTTTAAAACAATGTATTTGTAGCACCTCCATGAGACTAAACTCCACCGAGTCAACACAGACACACACGCACACAGACACACAGAAGTTTTATCAATTGGCGTTAAATAAACCACATGACTCACCCAAAGATCCATAGTGAGACCGCAAGAAGCATTGTACCAACCATAACCCATTCATTTCGTGTGACAGGACCCATGCTTTCTAATTTCTTTGCAGCCATGGCTGGTGCTTCTGGTGTATCTTTAATTTCAGGTGGATAAAGTTTGTATAAAACCAATGGCGTAGCAAGAAGAGAAACCAATGCAGGTAAACTAGCTGCCTTGAACCATGAAACCCAAGGGTTGGAAACTATCACCCCTAGCTCCTCCGCTAATTTGATACACAGTAAGTTTTGAGCTGCAGCAGTCAGGAAAAGAGCACTAGAATTACCAGCAGACTGTCACAGATCACAATGACAATGCGAAAGTTACTTCCTTATTTTCACACCAAAAAAAAAAAAAGGTTACTTCTTGCATGATAAGGGTGTTCAAATATGGAACAACGAAGCTGAGAAGCTAGCAACACCAGAGCCTACAATGGTCATTTCTAATAACAATACCCCCAACTATAACAAGCAAATGTGATGCTAACACCCCATAAGTGAAAGTAACAAAAAAGAACAAACAATCAAAGAAGTAAACTTAAATCATCCAACAAAAGAAGATCGAAGATTTTGCGCAACTGCCAAATTCTAAAATAAATGAACAACTCAGGAAATCCGCTGAAGTCAGACCTCAATGCCTCACCTCAATTTCACAGATCTGGAATGTCAACGCGTTTTTCCTTGTTCAAACTTAAGATTCACTCAAACTTAAAATTCATTAAAAAATAAACTTCTGGGCACAAAATTTTAATCTTTTTATTTTTCCCAGTAGTTTTAGAAATAGCAGTATTGAGCTCAAGTTTCATTGAAGCAGGAAACCAACGAAGAACTGCTGGAAAAAAAAAACAAAAATCGTAGTCACTGTAGTTCTTCCTATTTTACAGTTATGCTGAATTTAAAGTGACACCACTACAAAATCCATAATAGACAGGTTTGTAGATTAAATAATGCATCAGAAGAGCAAAACACTTATTTCTGGCCAATCAGCTTTATGATGGTATTATTTTGTGCTCAGTACCAAAACCAAAAATCTATCTTAGCTATCGCTAGGGGAGAATTTTCTTAGGTAGACCATAGAAACCTGAAAACCGACCTGAAATTGTGTCTGAACGAGGTAAGAACCCAGCTTCTTAGCCGAAGGATGTTCCGGCTGACTCCCGGCCGAAAGCGACAGTGACTTAATAATCGGCAAGAACACCCCGCCGGCCCTCGCGGTGGTGCTCGGCATTGCTGGCGCAATCAGCGCCTCGCTAAACGTCAACCCATAAGACAACCCCAACGTACTCTTCCCCAACCACTTCACGAAGTACGTCGCGATCCTATCCCCCAACCCAGTCTTCACAAACCCACGAGCGAAGAAGAAGGATATCACAATCAGCCAGATCACCTCGTTCGTGAACGCACTGAAAGCCGCCGAGAAAGTCAAAGTTTTGGTGACAATGGAAACCGTCAGACCCAAAAAAGCCCAGGCTCCTACAGGCAATGGACTCAAAACCAGGCCCGCAATAGTCGACAAGAAAATCGAGAGCAATTGCCACGCCTGAGCAGTGACTTCAACTGGTCTGGGAACTAAGAAGCGAACGGCAAGACCTATACCTATGGAAATAATCAAAGGAATGAGCTTGGCACCTTGTGTAGCAGGCGGGGGTGGTGGCGGAGAAGACGTAGAAGAAGAAGCAGAAGCTTGAATTGGCTTGTGGACTATGTGAGGCTTAGGGGTAGGAGTGATAAAGAAGGAAGATTTGGAAGGAAGGGACATGGAGAAACGAGAGACATGTGATCTGAGAGATGGGAGCGAATGGGATTGGAAAGTGGGGTTCGGTGGAAGAGAGAATTGAGCACTGGAAATGGAGCGAGAACGTTGGCGGTGCAAGCAGGTGGGAGAGGAGAGGGAGAAGGAGGTTGAGGTGGAGAGCGAATGCAAAGCATAGCTCTCCATTTGCAGAGCAAGAGCAGAGCTTGCTCGGAGAAGGAGAAGGAGAAGGAGAAGGAGAAGGAATGTGAATCTGCGAATTGGGACGGAGCAATTGAAGAGAGAATCTGTATGTGTGATGGGAGTTCGGCAATTGCAAAGCGTGGCCACTGGCCAATGTTACTTTGTGTGGGACCTTACCTGGCTGAGGAAATGATCGGTGACATGGTCCCCGGAGATTAAGACACTTAAAAGAAATTAAAAATTAAAACATTCAAAAATAAATATTCCCTATGGGCTAATTTTTTAGCTTGACTCTAAATAAAAAATTAATTCTAAAATTTTTTATATTAATTTTTTTCAATAATACTCTTATTAAGTCATTTTTATCTCTACCTATTAAATTTAATCATTAAATGATCAGAATATTTTTTTAAAAAAAGTGTGGTTTGAATCCAATAAATGTAAGGTTTATTCTTTCCTATTTTTATATATTAATTACAACTAAATATTTTAATTGATTCTATAAATCTATATTTAGATGCGGAAATTACCGCAGTAATTTTAAGATGCATAATGGATTTTTATTTTATATTATTTAAGAAAAAGCTTACTCTTTTATTTATTTATTATATATTATTTTTAGAATTATTATATACTGAATTCATGTATATAAATGTGTGTAGCTAATTTGCCAATTGTATCTTATCTATTTTCATTTTGTGTGGACCATTTTATCATTTTGTATTAGCAATAATGTGCTGATATATGTCTTTTTCAGTTTAGTTTTCTGTAATTTTTATAGACAATCCTTTTTTGAAAAGACTTTGTCTTACTTTTTATTTTTTTTTAAATTGAATGTTTTATGATCTGAAAAGGAAAAACAGACAAATCCTTTAAAATTGAGATTTGTTTCTCTTCTTCTGTTTCTTAAGAAGGTAATCCTTTCAGAAATCCTTACAATTCTATTAATGATCTTTTCATAATTATAATTTGAATAACCCAACAAAGAGAAGCTGTTTTTCTACCAAAAAAATTTATTTATTTTAATATATTAAAATAAATAAAAAATGAATTGATCTTATTTTAAATGATAATACTTTTCACCATAGATTTTTTGATTTGATCAATGATTTCTTCTTTAAAATTTAGAGTTCCCTCTCCCAATAAATATGTTTTTTGATGAAAATAAAGACAATCGTTTGCAATGTTTATCATTTAGCTAGCCCTAATGTATGAAAAATAGTGGTTCCTTTTATCAAACAATATAATTAGTATAATTATATAAAAGGATAAACTAAACCAGAGACATTTTTCTAACACACACTTTATTTTGGTCCATCACTTAGAAAATTTTTGGGTAAGACATATAAATAAATTGCAAATATTTTTTTGTTATTTATTATACTTTTTATTGAACAGTGAGGTTTCAGTTTAAAATATTTGGGATTTGACTACACAGTTTCTTTTCAATTTTTATTAGAATTGCGTAGATATTTTTATTTTGAAAACATAAATGCCAGTTTAGTTCAAAATATTCTACTGAAACATCCTTCCCCACGCAAACAAAAATGGTCAATTTATAAGTTAATAAAATATGTTCTAATAAGAAATTAAAAAGCTATATTAACTATATTTGGAAAAAAATTATTATTTATTTAGAATTTGAGAAACATTTATATATATATTTATGCCATATATGTGCGTGTTCGAACAATTTTTAACTAACTAAATCACTATCACTATGAATTTGATATCGGTCGACTTTAACATTTCCTAATAAACAACCATACTTAGCGTAATTCTTTGGTATGAAATTTGAGGTCTCATTTGACCAGATGCCACATCTCATTTTTTAAACAAGTTAATTACATTTTTAACTAGGAATAATTACATGCATGTCTCAAATAAAAAAAATTAATAATTTACAAATCCTAACCACTTGCTAAGGTTTAAAAAAATTGACATGAAAATGAGATTGAGAAAAAAAATTTCGGGGGACATGTTTGTAGTAATTTTTTTTATATTAATGATAAAAATAAGATGCTTCAATTAGTTCCTGCTTCCAAGCCAAGTCAGTAACAATAATCATAATAATACAACTAAAACATGAAAAATGATACTTTATCTTCATTTGCCACTCTCCTTTTACCTTATTAAGAGATCGAATGCCATTAAATATCATAAAAATCATTACAATATATACTCTTCTGGTCCTATTTATAAGGCAGAGAGATAAGACATTTTGTTCTCATATTTATAGGACATTAAGAGAATTTTTTTTATATAAATTTACAATTTTATATTTTATTTATTATTGTGTTGATTTTATTTACATGAAATATAATGTATATTAAATAAAAATAAAATTAAAAAGTTATTAAATTTTAAATAAAAATTAAAAATTTAATATATTTTTTTAATTTGTATGAAATATGTTGAAAGCAAATTATAAAAAACACCAGGGTAGTAGATTCTAAAGAAGGACAAGAATTTAAGAACAAAATAAGAGAGGCAGATAAAGACTTGATGAACACTGTACTAAAATTAATCAAGCAACTTAACAATTGCACAAGATCTTGTTTGACAATATTGCCTGACCCTTCCAACGACTGCCTGCAAGAAGAAATCTGTTTTTTCTTTTTTTATGCCCATAAATCAAAGGTTGCTGATTCATTATCAAATAAAAGAAACTGAATAATCATCAAAGAGTAGCTCTTGTACATTTGAAAGCAAAGGAGGAGTGGCCCCTCTCCTCTACCAACCTTAATTGCATATTTTTTTATATTTTATATAATTGATTTATAAAAAACAAAAAAGAAAAGTTTTGAGAGACAATATTCAAAAGCGAAAACATTATGAATTGGAGAATGGACATTCTGCCTCACGAAGGAAAAACTGACACCTCTCATAAATTCAAACAACTATTCTCATCTTTATCTGCATTTTCTGATTTATTAGGAAGCAATCATTCTCATTTTTCAGCCTTTCGATGGTTCAAATACCAAGAAATTTTGTCTGGAAATCATTGCCATCGTCAGCATGGAGAGCAATAAATAGTACCAGGAGTATCAGGCAAAAAAATAAATAAATAAATAGTACCAGGAGTATCAGCCAAATAAATAAATAAATAAATAAATAGTACCAGTAGTAGGTGAGTCCTTCGGTATTTTATTTATTTATTTTATGATTATGTTGTTGGCAAAAATAACGATCATGCAATTTTTCTGAAAAAATACTGCTCAAAAGAATCTAAATCATAATAGAAATACTTTTTTTTTATACAAAATTTACAGAATTGCAGAGTAGTACGAGTAGATTTTTCGTGTAAAAATTTATCGGCTTTTTCTTGTCAATAAAAATTTCAATGCAGCACTTTTGTTCCCTTACAGATTAAATCATTATTTTAACATGTCCGCATTTTTTTTACGGGCTTGAGATTACACCAAAGTGAACATTACTAAAGTCTTTATGAGATCAAAGCCTTGATAGGTTAATTTAGCAGGCGGTTGAATACTGAATATCAAATAAAAGTTGCATAATTAATTTACAGACGTTAAAAAAACAGTTAAATCAGTTATTTATTTTTAAAAAAATATTTTACTTGGTATTTTTGACAGAGGTTAATATAATTTTTTGTTTATCAAGTTTGTTTAAATTTTAAACTATAAATTTTGGTCTCTTAAATTTCTTTACATTTAAAATATTGATCTTCACAATTCAATAAATACCTGGATCATTTTATCCTGTAAGGGATCAAAATCTATAATTTGAAATATGAGGGTAGATTTAGGAGACCAAATATTATATTAATCAATTTGATAGTCTATATATATATTTTTTGTTTTTGCGTTAAAATTTGTTGTAATGCTTAGGTTTAATTACAATATCCAATGTTGATTCATAATAATAGTCAAGCAATAGTCGAAGAAGAGATTATATATATATATATATATATATTTTTTCTTTTTTTTCCCAACCGCAAATAGTTCGGTCGTTATCAGAAATATTCAAGCAGCCTTTAACGACGTGAGTTTTTTTTTTTTTTCCATTGCGTAATATTATTAGACGGTTTTGAAATATTAAAATCCTTTAATTATTTATGTCAACTCATTTATGTGGCCTTCTCTACTTTGTCTTTGGGTCGGTTAGAATAAGTACGCCCATTTCCATGATGTCACCAGCAAACAAAGACTTTTTAAAAAAGAAATGAAGAAAATGGAGATTCCCTTCATTCTTCCCCTCTTTTTAGTTTTACCAACCAAAAAGAAGTTCTCCCCACTTTTTATTCATGGGCTCCATGTTGGGCTGGGCTACGCCGATTCATGGGCTTTTCAGATTTTTGGTTAAATTCATGGGCCTTTCGGATTTTTCTTGCATTGGACTCCATTCATTTAACACTTTTTTTTTTTTAGCGAGTCATTGAACACTTCAAGGATATCTGTACGCATAAGAAAAACACTATAATATAAATAAAATTTGAAAAATATTATCTTTTTTTTAAAAGAAACATGGGACAATTACAGACATAAAGAATCTTTTTAAAGAAATATATGAGGCCATTGCACTAGTTATAGGACTCTATACTCCACCTCTATAGCATCTTAGCAATTAAGAAAAACATTAATAAATCTTAAGTGTAATTAATTAACTAAATGAGACATCTTATTAGATGAGAGTAAAAACATGAAAAGAATGTGTATTTTTTTAATACTTTTTTACCAGAGTATTTTTTTAATAATATTAATTTGTTTGTTGAAAGTATAAATTAATTAAAAGTTTCTTATAATTTTTAAATGAAGGGAGTAACATTTGTGATGGGTTGATGGTAAACATTATTATAATCTTGAGATTAGGTGCCTGTTTGGGTCAGCGTTTGCTGGCCCAAACGTAGCTTATAATGACTTATAAGCTTAGTGAGAAATTGGGACCGTTTGGCTGAGCTTTACAACAATTAGGCTTCTGAATTTTTAAGCCCGTTGAACATCCGATTGGGAGAAGCTGGAGAGGGGGAGCTTCTGGATTATATGAAAGTAGCTTATGGACCGTTCTGACAAAGGAATATATTCCTTTTACTTTTCTCTCCATTCATGTGCGTTCTCCTTATTCCCCCGTGAGCAGAGTCCGGCTTCTTCAACCCGAGCCCCCACTTGCTCTGTCTTTGCTCGCCTCGACAAGAAGGTCCGTCCGTGGTCGCCTCCGAGAAGCTCGGTCGCTGGTGACCGTGAGCTCCGTCCCGTCATTGTGGTGAGGTCGGCTGTTGGGTGGGAGGTGTGCGTGTCCAGTGGTCGGAAGTCGTCTGGTGTTTGACCGTGAGCTCTGTCTGTGGTTGCCTCGGCCAGGTCCGTCGGTGGTCGCTTGCAAGAAGGTCCGTCGCGTCGCTGGTGACCGTGAGCTCCGTCTGTGGTCGCCTCGACCAGGTCCGTCGGTGGATGCTGCTCGTTCATCACAAATCGAATCGGCTCTCACCGTCTGCAACCGACGTCGCATTTGAGCTGTGCGTGGAGTTCTTCTCTTCCCAGAGCAATACACCGTCCGATCTACCTCTGGCAGGCTTCGGTTGGTTGGATCAGGTTGGCCGGTTTAATTTTGTTATGTTGGTTTTCCGGTTTGATCCCTGTGGTTGCTGTGGTCCTTGAAATTCCGGTGGTCCTTGAATTTGTGGTTGCTGTCGTCCTTGAAATTCCGGTGGTCCTTGAATTTTGATTGTTACTGATTTCGATTTGTGATGGACCGACTTGTTAGTTCACTGAAACAGGGGCTTCATGTTTTGAATTTTATGGTTTTCGGTTACAATAATTTTTTGTTGGATGTTGGTTAATTGTTTAATGAGGATTTTCTGGTTGCATGTGGATTTTCTGCCTCTGTTTTTGACGGACGAAACAGGGATCAATGGTTCGAGGAAACGGCTTTAGCTTAATGAGAAAATGAAGAGCATAAATGTGTGTATATGACCGAAGGCTTGGGTGTGCAGTGTTGGGGATTTAAATTGTTGAGTATATGTCTATGTTGTTAATGGCGAGATATGTAACTCTGAAATTGTAATTTTCAGAATTACAATGGTTTTTGTTTTGCATGTCCCTAGCTTTGGTCTCTTGGTTTTTATGGTTATAGGATTCGATCTCTATGAGGGTAGGGTAGAAGAGAATGAGATGGTAATATGGTGTATATATGTGTGTTTGGATGGTTCATTTGATAGAGTTAATTAACGGCGTTGATAGAGCAAAGTAATAAGACATTAATTTGTACTATACAAAGAAATTAAGGACTATGTGGGTAATTACTTAAAAATCATTTGGAATTAATTTCGGGAAGTCTCAATCAAAATAAATTTAATGTTGTTCTTTCTCCTGTTATATTCTCTTACTTCTCTCTAATATGATATTTATTTAACTAATTTAATTATATTTAAAAAGTTATGTAAATTAGTTAATTATAATAAATATAACATATTTTTGTAAATAATCTTGTTCATCATTCTTAATTTGGTTTTTATTTGACTTTTACATAGTTAAATTAGGATAAAAATTAAACAATGTAATGCAGTTTAGGTTCAATTTATATGATATATTGAAAATTTAATTTCAAAATGTTCACAATCAATTACCACTGGAAAATAGTGGACATTGACATTGTGATTATATATTTATAATTTTAAAAAATATTGAATAAGAAAACTAAACAGCTTATGCAATTAAAATGTGTTACTTGGTGATATATGTTTGTTTGGTTACAATGTATGTGTTATATAATACGGCTTTCATTATTACATATTTAGGGCTTTGGTTGATTTAGTTGCTCTTATCTCGATCAAAGGGCGTAGAGAAATGGATAATGACAAGGGAAAAGCGATATGGGATCATTACACGACAAAAATTCTAATCGATGTTTGTGCCGAGCAAATAGTGCACAAAGAAAGACAAGGAACATCATTTACAAGACCTGGTTGGTTGAAAATTGAAAAGAATTTTCGGGAAAGGAGCGGGAAAATGTATGATAGGAAGCAACTGAAGAACAGATTTGATGTATTGAGAAAAGATTGGAAGTTGTGGGAAAAACTGATGTCTGGGGAGACTGGCATTGGTTATGATGCAGCCACAAATAGGGTGTTGGCCTCTGATGAGTGGTGGCAACGAAAAATACTGGTAATTATTTGTGTTAGTTGAGTTTTAATTTTGAATATCAGAAGGAACAGCGCTTAATTATGCCTAATTATGTTCATGTAGGTGGACCCTAATTTCAAGAAATTTAGACATTAGGGGCCGATGTTTGCATCAGATCTGATGAAAATATTCAGAGATGTTGTGGCTTCGGGAGAGTATGCGTACGCACCATCAGCCTCACAGCCTCAGCCAGCGTTTGCTCCACAGCCTGACACAGAAGAGGAGGATGTTTATAGAGTCGGGCTAGACCAACAAGAAGGGTCAGGGGATAGTGAGGATGAAAACTTTGGTGTGGACCCAACAGCCAGTGCCTTCACAAATGACTTCGCTGCTTGCAACATAAACACCCCGCAAGTACTGGACCAAGTGGCTCAGGAAGCTATGGAAAGAGAAAGAGGGGTGAGACATCAGATGCAAAGAAGAAGAAGAAAGTTGCTGCAACTACATTAATTTCTGATAGCCTGAGTGTCATAGCAGCTGCTTCTGACAAGCGAGCAGCAGCATTGGTTGAAGATCCCCAAATAGTTGATAAGGTTTTGGCACACCTGACTACCGTTGAGGAGCTTAATGATGACAATCAACTATATTATGCATGTGCCAAGATGCTTACGCGGTTGAGGTGGGCTAGGCGAGCCTATTTGGGGCTTATGCATGATAGAAGCAAGTTGTTGAGGTGGTTGATACCGGCAGCACAAGACCCAGACACATGGAAGTGACCTGCAGAATAGGATTTAGTTTAGGACTTAGCTGTTTAACTATTGTTATTGCACTTGTTAACCTGATATACCTGCTGTTTTAACCTAAACTGATGTGGCATGTTGTAGGAACTTTATTAATCATTATGTAATATATTTACGCTAATTTCTACTTGTCATCTATGCGTTTGGTTTTTCTGTTTGCAGTATGAAAATTATTTACACTTTGTTTAGTGTAATCCTTATAATGCTTACATTTTGTTTTCACCATAATTACAGGGTTAATTCCAGAAATGGCTAATTGGAACGATGATTCACCATGGAATGAAGATACTTTATGGAATTGGAATAACGATTTACAGCCAAATGAAGATGACCATTCAACCATAATTAATGAGGAATTAACACAATATGAAGCAGTAGGTGCATTGGTTGGTCATTATTGTGAAATGTACATGCTTAAACAACCGTGCAGAACTAGTGAGCAGACAGGAAATTTATGGGTACAAGGCATTATGAATGGGCATGATGATCGATGTCATGAAATGTTTAGAATGGATAAAATGTTTTCCACCTCTTATGTACTAAATTGGTGGAACATGGTTTACAAAAGTCTAAGTACGTAGGAATTGAAGAAATGGTTGCGATGTTTTTAAACACGGTTGCACATGGACAATGCAATAGGATGATCCAGGAACGATTTCAACGATTAGGGGAAACTGTAAGTAGGCACTTTCATAATGTACTGCAAGCTTGTCTTAGCCTATCGAGTGAACTTATTCGACCCATAGATCCAACATTTCGTGGAACTCATAGAAAAATTGAGAACGATCCACGTTACTACCCATTTTTTAAGGACGCAATCGGAGCAATTGATGGCACTCATATACAGTGTGTTGTCCCTGCTGCAAAACGAGACAAATTTATTGGCAGAAAGGGATATCCATCACAAAATGTCATGGCTGTATGTGACTGGGATATGTGTTTCACTTTTGTCTTGGCAGGATGGGAGAGATCTGCACATGATGCTCGTATATTTGATAGTGCTATTACAAATTCATCTCTTAATTTCCCTCATCCACCTCCAGGTATATGTTTATGTGTTCCAATCATGCATGTTGTTTTAATTATTTCATACTTTTATTCATTTCACAATCTCTCAAATTGTTTCATGAATCATTAGGGAAATATTACTTGGTTGATGCGGGATATCCAACACCAAATGGATATCTAGGTCCATACAGATCTGAGCGCTACCACCTTCCAGACTTCCGACGACAAGTAGGATTCCGAAATAGCAACGAAGCCTTTAATTATTATCATTCCAGTTTAAGGTGCACAATAGAAAGAACATTCGGTGTTTGGAAGAATAGATTTCAAGTCCTCCGAAATATGCGCAGTTACGACTTCCAAACACAAGTGTATCTGGTTTGTGCAACAATGGCCATTCATAACCTTATAAGGAGACATTCGAGCTCCGACTTGTTTTTTGAACAAGCTGAAAATGGTAATAATGTGGGCGAACATGATCAGGCTGAAGCTAGTCAACCATCATCTTCAAATGTTACATCATAGTCTTCATCGCATATGAATCGCGTCCGTGATGCAATCAGAGACCAAATTATCCATAGCTTATCTATTGATTAGTTATGTAATATTATTTGGTTTCACTTTATTGCAATACTGTAAATTGGAGTTAAAAACATGTTTATCCATTCAAATTATGTTTCGTTTTATATTTGCAATTTTTTTTCCATTTCTCTTATGTTTTCAAATTTAATTCTCTCGATCAATTTCACTTCTTCATATCAAATTAACAATAATTCACTGTATTATATCAATTCATTTTTTTTCATGTTTCACATTATATTTAAAATTTTTGTTATGATTTTTTTGAAATTTTAAAATTTAATTCACTCATTAATTTGACTTCTTCATAATAAATTATTTTAATTTCATTGTATTATGTCAAATCATTTTTTATTATCATATTTCATTATTTATTAACACTTATACCCATTTTAGTCATTTTATAACCAAACTCACTTTTACTCAACTATAATCCAAACACCTTTTTACCAATCTCACTTCTACAAATTAGCTTTTCTGAACTCCAATCCAAATACAATTCAGCTTATCTAATTTAGCTTTTACCAACTTCACTTCTCCATAAGCTACTTTTCCTATAAGCTGCTTTTCCAATCGCTCATCCAAATGGACCCTAGATCAATGAGTAAAACTGATGTGAGCTAGTTGGGGGGGAAAAAAGATGTGAGGTGGGGGTAAAAACCAAAAAGTAAAATCCTCCTCATATAAGAAAAATAGTTAACCGTTTTTCTACATGGTACATAAAATGTGTTTTCAATATCTTTGATTGTCAAATGTGTTTTCAATATCTTATTTGTATAATATCTGCATAAAATTGATGGCAAAAAAAAATAGAGCAAAAAATTGCTTAGTCAAATGACACAATCAAAGCGATATCATCTCTAGTTATTTATGACTTAGTACATGGCACAAGTTATTGAAGTATTAAATTAAAATTAATTTCTTTGACAAGTACTAAATTAATATATTAATGGATAGAGCATGAGATGAATCAACCTCTTCTTTGATCCGCCGCCTTTCAATGTGGTCCAAATTGGTTGGCTATTTGGTTCCTTGCACTTGCAAAAGTGCTTTCCCAATAGTTGTGTCGCCCATTGCCGAATAAAATATTTTTACCACTTATATAAAATGACATTTAATAAATTAATTTAAAAAATTAATAAATATAATAGACAATATAAATTGAGATTTTATATGTGCAAAAAAATTTAATTCCTATTTCCTAACTAACTTTTATATTATAACCAAAGAGCAGTACCAAATTTTTTCTAATCCATTTTATACGGATAAGAACATGAATACCAAACGAAATAAAAATTGGATAGTTATCAGGCTGGTAAGAAACTTACGCATTTGTAAAATTCTTTATATTCTTTTTTCTTTTTATAATTACTTTCTCTCCAGCCTTAAAAATTAGTTGGGGTGTTTGTTTTGATTTTAAATATAAATTATAAACCTATTTTGTCCCTAAAATTTATATTTTTTTAATCAAATTATTCATATTATTGTTTTATAAATTAATTATTCGACCGGCGCTTATTTTCGCCAGCCTATAGAAGTGGATGAGAAGGAAACCGATGCATAGAAATTCGTTGAACAACAGGCAGTGGCGGTGAAACGTGTGGGAGGAGGGAGTTAGGACTCTTAACTCTTCTTATCAACCGTCTCTCAGCAGAAGGTGACTCATCGGGGCCACACTTCTCGACGATCCCCATCGTAACTGCGTCCTTCTAGCTGGTTCAATTTCTGCTCAACCTACAATTCATACCGACGCAACTCCCGATTCAGCCTTAAGCATTCTACCGAATTCATAGTCTCTGGCAAATAATAATGGCGTCTCTCAATTTCTCCTGTTCTTCTCCAGTATCTCTCTCGCGGCCTCGGTGAGCTTCTGCCTTTTTTTTGGCCTCCTTTCTTATTCTCTTGTTTGAATTCTCTGTTCTTCGAGAGAGACGGCTGATGCCATCTGGGATTAGGTCGTTATGGGTGAATTATTGCTATAATTCCATTTCGGGGTATAAAGTCTTCTGCTTTTGTGTTTTCTCTGCGTCGTGTTTTTCCTTCTTCTTCCATGTTGGCTTCCTTTAATCCTGTCATTCGTTTATCTATTGGCGATCGATTGTCGGAAAATATAATTTGGCGACATGATGTTTTGTGGTGCAAAATTTGATTTGATGGAACTTGTTTTTAATTGTTGAGAGGGCAGTTTCCAGTGCACGAGATACAACTTTTTGAAGATTCTTCTGAAGCCTATTTGTTGATGCTTTTGTTTTTTCAATTACAATACTTTTGACTTGAACTATGGGCCATAATGTATCTGCAGCCTACACTTGAAAGAATCATATTCCCGATTAAGCCCAATGTGACTCGCCAGCTTCTAGTATATACTTATTGGAGAGACAATAATTTTTTTTAATTTCTTTTTAAATGGATGACACGCCTTTAATTGTTGTGGAAATTCTGATTTTGACCTAGTTTTTCTTGACTTTTCTGTCATGCTCTATTACTCTTTAGGATATCCATCAAATGATCAAATGCACGGACAGCTTCTCCAACTTTCTTCAATTTTTTTTTTTAACTATCATTATTTTCTTTTATTCTGCCCACACTACTTTATGTAAATGTTTAACTTTCAAGTCTAAATAGTTTAGATGAAGTTTGTCTAATTACCTATTAATTTACTGAACCACATTTTGCTTCCTGGAAGTTTTACTGAACCATCAGCAGGCCTCTATGTTCATGGCTTCTAAATAACCAGCTATTTATTTTGGTTATGTTTGGATATGACAATTACTAATTGAACCTGTTTTCTGCTCTGGTATCCTATGCAGGGCATGCCAACATTTAAAATTGTTCAATGGGTTGCATTCTATTCGTGGACTTGGACTTGGATCTGATTTGGCAATGGTTCGATTAAATTCTAGATTCTTGCCAAGTGACAAGAGTGTTGGCAGGATCAAGGCGACTCTGATATCTGGAGGAGATGATGTTGTTTTAAATTCAAATGGCAATAATGTTGAGAAACAACCTGAAGCAATTGGACACGGAACATTGGCAACTAACGCAGAGCCAACAAGCATTGGTTTTTCTGTTGATAATGATGAATTTGATTTGGACAGCCCCACAGAAGGTTTTGCTTCTATCCCTGAGGCCATTGAGGATATTCGCCAGGGAAAGGTTGTTAATATCTCCCTCTCCCTCTCCCCTCTTCCCTTTGAGAAGAATGGCTCCCCCCCCCCCCCCTGGTTAGATGTGGTGGAAATACACATTGTTAAAGTCACGCTATTTGTATTGCTGTTGCCTTAACTTTATTTACTGACTTCAATTGTTGACACAGATGGTACTGGTTGTAGATGATGAGGATAGGGAAAATGAAGGAGACTTGATAATGGCTGCACAGTTGGCTACACCTGAAGCTATGGCCTTTATTGTCAAGCATGGGACTGGGATAGTTTGCGTAAGCATGAAAGAGGAAGATCTGGAGAGATTGGAACTTCCTTTGATGGTAGACAGTAAGGATAACGATGAGAAACTTCGTACTGCATTTACTGTGACAGTGGTATGAACAATTACTAAATTCGCATTTACATCTGGACTCAATGCTCATCCCTCATTAGGGTCTTCTGTTGCTACCAATGCTCGTCCCTCATTAGGATCTTCTGTTGCCATCATCAGCTAGAAATAGCAGATAACTAAAAGTTATGAAATAAATTGTTTCATCCAACATAAGCTTGTTGTACTTGATTCTCTTATTTCCTAGTGTTCAAGTGACAACAATTATAATTACCATGACAATCAATTTGGAGGATTCAGTTTTCATAATCATCATTATATTGTTGGAAATCGCTTTTCATGTAGTTGTGGCATTTATTAACTTAAATTGTGTACTTTAAGAATTTACATTGCATTTGTAGGATGCTAAACGAGGTACCACCACAGGGGTATCAGCAGCTGATAGGGCAACAACAGTCTTGGCTCTTGCATCCAGAGATTCAAAACCATCTGATTTTAATCGCCCAGGCCATATATTTCCATTAAAATACCGGGAAGGTGGTGTCTTGAAGAGAGCTGGACATACAGAAGCTTCAGTTGATCTTGCCATGCTTGCAGGTTTGGAACCTGTGGCAGTGCTATGTGAAGTTGTAGATGATGATGGTTCCATGGCTAGGCTCCCAAAGCTTCGCCAGTTTGCAGTGCGTGAAAACTTGAAAATAGTTTCTATTGCTGACTTAATAAGGTATCTGTTTTTGTTTCGTTGAAGATGTGCCAAGATTGTTGTTGCATCTTTGGTGTCGTTATGCTTAGATTTTTCATTTACACAGGTACCAATATTGAAAATGTTGTTTGTTATTCAGCCAAATTCTAGCCGCCTTATTAGAATTTGAATATGTTTGGCTTCTTTGATTCTAATTTTTAACGATACAATATGTGCCAATGGCATCCTTGGTAAACCATTTTTACGTTGTAACATAATAACAGATGAAAATTGTTATCCACCGCTCAGTATATGGGCATCCTTAAATCTTTCTTTTTTATATGACTCTGCATCAGATTCACTAAATACATAAACAACGATCTCTCTCAAAGTAAAGAATTCACTATCTACTTGATCATATCATCCCTTACCCGCAAAAAGCTCAGAGGCTGGATTTTTATGTTGCTTATTTACTTGTCAAGGAGATTTAACACTTAATCTTATGGCAGATATAGAAGGAAGAGAGATAAATTAGTAGTTCTTGCTGGTGCTGCACAAATACCTACAATGTGGGGGCCATTTACAGCTCACTGTTACAGATCACTTTTAGACGGGATGGAACATATTGCGATGGTTAAGGTTTGGAGCGCTTCTGTTTCCATTAAACTATATCTATAGTCATGTACATAATAATTTACTAATATGTACGCATGAGCATTCTGTCATATAGAGCCGGGAATATGGGTTGGGGCCCGCGGGCCAGCCCGCCAACCCGCCATAAAAGAGCGGGTTAGGGTTGGCATTTTGCCAACCCGTCAAAATGCGGGCTGCTCTAGCCCGCACCGCATAGCCCGCGGGCTGTGGCGGGCTAGCCCGCGGGTTGGCGGGTTGGCCCGCCTAACCCGCCACCTTTTTTTTTAAAAAAAAATTTGTTTTCATATAAATAATATATTATTATATTTGAAATTTTTCTTCTATCATTTACATCTCAATTTTCATGTTACATAATACATATGTAAACAACAAATATTTTTTAAAAATAAGCATACCATATTTGTAGCAAAAATTTAATAACTACAATCAAATATAAGATAATATTTATTATAGAAAAAAAGTATTTTAGAAAAATATGGTGAATGAACTTTTAAAAAAGTTAGATAAATGCACTTCTAATTTATTAAGAGATAGTGTTTTGTATCAAACATGACATTTGTATAAAAAAATTATAAAATTCATCACTTGATAAGTTAATGTTGAATGTTAATCATGTAAAATATTTGTAATATATTGTTTTATATTTATATTGACTATTTTAAATGTGGTTAAAATAATTTATACTTGTGATTACTTTTGAAATTTTAGATCACCATTTATTAGTTTAAAAAATTAAATAAAAATAAGATTTAAAAATTGAGAATTAAAAAAAAAAAAAAGATGGCGGGCTGGCGGGCTGGCCCGCCAACCCGCTGTGACGGGTTAGGGTTGGGACTTTTCCAGCCCGCCAAAATGCGGGCTGCTCCAGCCCGCACCGCATAACCCGCGGGTTGTGGCGGGCTGGCCCGCAACCCGCGGGTTGGCCCGTATTCCCAGCTATACTGTCATATTAGTTATTACATCTAGCTTAAATTTCACCGTTTACTCCTATGGCTTACCCTTAATATGGTGCTTGTAGTGATTGTTTGAAACCACTTAGATTTTGAATCCATGTTAGTATCCATGAATTTTATATGGAATGGTCTGCGTACAACCAATATTTTTGGTTGATCCATTAAAAAATAGAAAAGCAAAATAAAACAACAAATTGAGGCCATTAGCTTTGTTAGTCCTAGTCATATATGGTAAACTAAAATCCAAGACTGAATTTTGCTGAATTAGAATATAGCATATTTTTGAAGATTGTATTAAAGACGGCTTATTCAATGGTCATTTGAATCAAGCTTCCTACCTACGCTTTCTCTGGCTTATAAATCTGGTGAAGAGTTTTTAAACAGCAAGCCTATCTTGATTTAAAAAAAAGGTCATCTGTGTCATATGGGAAAGGGAGAACAACGAGATACGACAGTGAATTCTATATATCTCTTTAGTCAATTCTGTTTTGTATATGGGCTCATAACTCTTTTTAAACAGGGTGACATTGGGGATGGAAAAGATGTTCTCGTGAGGGTGCACTCTGAGTGTCTCACTGGAGATATATTTGGATCTGCCAGATGCGATTGTGGAAATCAGCTTGGGCTTGCGATGCAGCAGATTGAGGCTGCTGGTAGGGGTATCCTGATATATCTCCGAGGACACGAAGGAAGAGGTATTGGACTTGGCCACAAGCTCCGTGCATATAACTTACAGGATGACGGGCGGGATACTGTAGAAGCCAATGAGGAGTTGGGGTTGCCTGTTGACTCGAGGGAATATGGCATTGGTGCACAGGTGATTAGCGTGAAGTGTACTTTATGAATAGATTATCTGACAGCATAAACTGCTTGCTTGCTATTCCATGTCGATTTACAATAAAAATTTCAGTTGAGGTAGAGCTGGAATAAATTTTCAGTAGATCAAGTTAATCAAAGGTAGAGAGATAATCAACTATGTGAAAGAGATCATTGAAGAGAGGTACCAACTAGAGTTGTTACTCTGCCAACCAGAGGACCTATTGTTGGGTCTAAAATCTAGGTCAAAGAGTTTAATTTCAAGTTATCTTCTAAGGCCTATCAAATTTTATTAGGCAAAATTGAGCTTTCGTCTGCCGAGGCTTGGTTCAAGTTGGCACTCCAAAGGATTAAATGTGTAATATGCTGAAATATGTTCTTCATAGCTAATTTGACTTGCCTCTCTTTTGTAGACAAGATTCGTGTGAGAATTTCTTAATAGTAACATTTCATGAATGCTCAACCCCGTGACTAGAGAATTTATTTTAACGTTGTTTTATTTGAAAATCAACTTGCAGATGTTGAGGGACTTAGGTGTTCGATCGATGAAGCTGATGACAAACAATCCAGCAAAATATGTTGGGCTCAAAGGTTATGGTTTGACAGTTTCTGGTAGGATCCCATTAGTAACTCTCATCACAAAGGAAAACAGGAGGTATTTGGAGACAAAACGTGCCAAAATGGGCCACATTTATGGTTTGGAATTCAGCAACCGGTTGAGCAGTTATGCCACTGGCAATGGTAAAGTCAATGCTGATGATTCTAACAACGCTGTTCCCGGTTCATGATCGTCCTGCTTTCAGATTTTCCATGAGATAGAAAGCAGAAGGGGAAGGCTCATGCATAATTTGAGAAAACTTAGGTATAATGTTTCAGATGTTTACCGTCAAGTTCTTCTGTGAGAACATGATGGGTGGAGAATTTCATGTGATTTTTTTTTTTTTTTAAGATTTAAGCAAATGCTTGGAAATTTTCAGTTCGAGATAGTGAATTCAACAGGTGAGAGAGAAACATGATTCTACTAATGGCTCGATTTTTTGAAGTTATTTTTTCTTGGTCCTTCCTCAACCAAGCTGAACATGTGTTTGTATGTGAGCTTATTGAAATCTTTGTATATGTTGCGTCTTGGACTCCTGCTCAGGTTTCTTGCTTCTATTAGTATGCTTGGTGGTATATATGTACCAGAAATGGAATCGTGATTTTCCAGATGATTGGCATGATCTTGGGGAATTTTGATCCTCGAAGCTACCTAAGGGGAACCACTAAGCATCCATATGAGAAAGGGGAAAGAAATAACTAATATATATTCCATATGCTTCGTTCAGTTCCTATTAGAAAGCACTTTTAACTATCATATCGGAAGCTGGGAGAGGTGATTTATAATTAAGTTTGTCTGAAAAAAGAATTTTTTTTTATCAAACAGGAAATTTTTAGATGTGTATTACATTCTGTCTTATAGTTAATGACTTTAAATAGTGGCAAATGACTTATTTTTTTGGGCCAAATATCAAGTGATCTATAATAAGGGAACAGTTGTCTCATCCGGGAGATGCTTTGTGATAAGGACTGGACAGTATATTTTTTTAACCTTTTTCACCTCTCAATATCCTCATTGATATTGAATAATTAAAAAAAAAACCTAAAACTCATCAGTTGCTTAGTTCAGAAGAAAAAAAAAAGAATTGGACAAAAATTATTCAAAGATGTTTTATAAAATACCAGAAAAGAGTTTTATTTGGTTACCGTTCAACGGCTCATTGGTTCAGAAGCAATACCCGGTAGACAAACAAATATTACTTAGTATATTTAATATATATCCTATAAAATACCAAAAAGGGTATTTTGTCAGCATTCAACGGCTAGTAAGCAATGAAGCAACGTTCACTTGTCCTTCTTCCTCAACTTCTTGGGCGGGTAGCCTTAGTTTCTAAGACACATGTACTGCTCCGATTAATCTAAAGTAATAATTAAATATTGTGTAATTAAAATTAAAAATATCTAAATTTTAACGTGTTTAATTGAAATGAATAAAAAAAATTCAGTTTATCAAACATATATTTTCTTTAATAAAAAAATTTCAATTTTTTAATTTTAATTTTACTTTTAAGAATTTAAATTCAGGAAACTGACAACTTTACTGTTGCGCTTGTTCTCGAGATCCGCGTGACAATCATTTCACCTTCTCAACGGCTCTCTCCACCTTCACCCTCCTATAAATACTCATTTTCATGCTCTCTTCTTCACTGCAATCTCACTCATCTCTGCAACTCATCACTCTTGGATTGCAGTCTCACTCTCACGGACTACGTATTCTCTCCCTCCCTCTCTCTCTGGAATTTTAATTTCTCTGTCTAAAATGGCTCGCTTCTCCTCTGTGTTGGTGTTGATGCTGGTGGTTTCACTGTTGGTGAGTCTCACATCGGCTCGATCTCCGGTTTCTTCTCCCAAGATCTTGTCTCCGACTGGATCGCCGGGGCTAGCTGCTCCACCTAAGGCATCATCTCTGTCATCTCCTTCGGAGTCGCCTGTCGAAGCTCCGGCAATGTCTCCTTCCTCAATCTCTGCTCCCCCATCAGAAGCACCAGTACCGGCGGCAAGCAGCGCCGGTCTGAATAGGTTTAGCATGGCTGGATCTGTTGCTGTAGCGGTCATGGCTGTGGCTTTGGTGATGTAGAGAGTATTACAGTAGGGTTCAGTTCATGGTCTCCACTGTAGTGTTGCTTTCTTTTTAAGATTGAGACACTTCATTCATTTGATTATTTCTGTGTATGTGTTATTTATTATGAAATTATGAATGATATTCTTTATTTATAAAATGTTGTTCTCCTTTAATTTGGAATTACCAAGTTCACAATATTCAAAACTGTTTACGAAAAGTGAACTCGCGCTACATTACAGAGTGTTTATAATGCAATTTATGAAGCATTTCCGAAAGAGGACCCTTCAAATTGGGTATCACATATTTGTAAATAGCTTGCAGCGAAACAAAAGCAGGGAAGAATTCATGAACAACCCATTTAGAATCTTTAAACTAAGGCACGACTGTTATCACTTATCAGATTAATAATGCATAATCTCCGACTAAACGAAACAGGGGGAATCTGACAGAACCCAAATCTTTTTGCCCCCAAGATTGTTCATAAGTAGAAGCTGAACTGATAAGCACAATCCCAATAGGATCATCAAGGGGAAAAAGAAGGAACAAGAGTTCAAAAGGAATTTACAGAAAAGAAACGATCTGCAGAACAAACATCGTTTTTTTTTTTTTTTAAAACTACCCCATGATGGTTATAAAAAGACGAAACAGGGGAAGATGGACTTTTCATGTGCTGGGTTTTATTCTGGATAGCCAGTCAAGGAAAGACCAGGTTGGGTCGGGCCAAGCAGGTAAACAAGACCCGGTAATATGGTTCAGTACCCAGAAAAATATTTAAGAAACAAATTAATGAATGCAAATCACTTAGCATTTTATTATTTATCATCTCCCGCCGCATTATCCTCTCATGATAAGGGTTTGAAAGAAATATCTGAATTTCATAAAACCAGCTTATCACCTGCTCACACATTCCTATTCCTAGCTTCAAAAGGACAAATAAGAACAAGCCAGGACGTGGGTCCATGCACTCATTGGAAGTCACAATTAAAAACCCATTTTGAAGATGAAAATCGACAACGGCACGGATACATTGCACGCATTGGAAGTCACAATTAAAAACCCATTTTGAAGATGAAAATCGACAACGGCACGGACAGATACATATGTATGTGGCCAGGACCAGCTCATACATATCTGTTTACAAATCACGGACTTCTTCTCCACCACTTGCCATATGTGTGCCCCTCAGTTATAAACATCCTCACTGCCAAGTTCAAATCAAATCCTACTATAGCCTCTGAGTCGCCATGGAATCTTTGACGACAGCCATGTCGACACAGAAACTTCATCAGCTTCACTTTGTTTTGATACCTTTAATGGCCCCAGGTCATCTTCTTCCCATGGTAGACTTGGCTAGACTTTTGGCTCGGCGAAATGTGAAGGTCACCATAATGACCACACCATTAAATGCTGCTCGAGTTCGGGCAAATATTGATAGGGAGATCCAGTCTGGTTCATCAATCAGTGTTCAACATTTTCGATTCCCAAATGCTGAGGCTGGTTTACCAGAGGGGTGTGAGAGCATAGACACTTTACCTTCCATGGATCTTCTGCTCAACTTTGCGAAAGCTATGTGTTTGTTGCAGGAACCAGTTGAAGAAGTCTTTGAAAAGCTTATTAGTCCCTCCCCAACCTGCGTAATACATGACAAATACCTTCCATTTGTAGCTGATATTGCTAAAAAGCTCCAAGTTCCAAGAATAACATTCGATGGAACTAGCTGTTTCACTCTGTTATGTGACAACAGTCTGTATAATTCTGAAGTCTATGAGAACTTGTCCGAATCAGAACCATTCGTTGTGCCTGGATTGCCCCATAGAATAGTGTTTAAGAAATCTCAACTTCCCGAGTGGTTTACACTTAACAGAGGCCAAGACGTCAGTGTTTTGCGTGAGAAAACAAGGAAATGTGAAGAAGAAGCATATGGGGTGATAGTGAATAGCTTTGAAGAGTTCGAAGAAGAATACGTGAAGGAGTATAGAAGAGTCACAGGTAGAAAGGTTTGGTGTGTTGGTCCAGTCTCACTCTCAAACAAGGACGACTTGGATAAGACTCAAAGAGGCAAACCGGACTCAAACGAAAAAGAAGAAGAAGAAGAAGGCCAATACTTGAAGTGGCTTGATTCATGGCCTGCAAGATCTGTCATCTATGTCTGCCTTGGAACCTTAAACTTTGTACCACCAGAGCAATTGATGGAGCTAGGTTTGGGACTGGAAGCTACAAAGAGGCCATTCATTTGGGTACTGAGAGACTCATACAAAAGAGAAGAAATGGACAAATTACTGAAGGAAGATGGATTAGAAGAGAGAGTGAAAGGAAGAGGACTCATAATAAGAGGTTGGGTGCCTCAAGTTCTGATACTGTCACACACAGCAATAGGATCATTCTTAACACACTGTGGATGGAACTCAACGCTTGAAGGGATCAGTAATGGACTGCCACTAATAACATTTCCTCTATCTTCTGATCAATTTTATAATGAGAAGGTGATTGTTCAGTTGTTGGAGATAGGTGCGAGGGTGGGAGCTGAGATTGCTGTACATCTAGGGGAGGAAGACAAGTATGGGGTTCAGGTGAAGAGGGAGAAAGTGAAGGAGGCAATAGAGAAAGTAATGGGTGAAGAAGATGAGGAAAGTGAAAGGATAAGAGAAAGAGCAAGGAATTATGCGGAGAAGGCAAACAGAACACTGCAGAAAGGCGGATCTTCTTACCTTAACTTGTCACTGCTGATTGAAGACATAATACAATGTATGATGGAATAAAAGAATTAAACTATTTTTGAAGTAGCGAAATCAATCATTTACATTTTATTAGTTTATGTTTCTTTACTTTATTTACCAAGTTATAAGCTATTGTACATCAGAAAATCAGTGTTTATGAATGCAATATTTTGACGTCCATGATATATATTTGTGGATCAGGATTGAAAAGTCTAATGGTAGTTTAGTTTTTACCTCTATTTGGAAAAGAAAAGAACATAATTTTAATTATTGACTTTACAGTAGAAATTTAATTTTAATTTTGTCTCAGAAACTTATTAAACTGAATTGCAACATTACTTATATTTATTATTATCGTCGTGAAAGTTAAAAATAATTTCACGAACATTCATTTTAATTAATATTTTTTCTAACAAATTTAATTAAGCAGATTAATCGTGGTCAATCAAAAGACTCATGTTGATGATTTGAAGATGAAGATCCGCGTGTGGCACAGACAGACACGTGTATGGCCAAATCAAACCAGATCAATGCATGTGCTTTTTACAAATCATGGACTTGGATCTCCACTATCTCACTCTCACCCCACAGCCCACATCATTATCATCGTGTTGGACACTATTTAATTTCCATCGCATCATGTCATTAAGTAGCGTCCGTTCCACAGTTTCTGCCTTCCAAGTCAAATCGCATTATCTCCGGTGCGTCGCCATTGAATATATCTTTGAAACTAATTTGAAATGATTATGAAAAAAAACTATAATTAATAGGGATAATTTAGAGAATGAATTACAAATTTTTAAAAGATAAAGTGAGTTGGGATCTTATATTTAGAACCAAATTTAATTTTTAACTATCTTATACTGCTTCCGGTCCTTAATAGAAGAGCTTGTTGACTAATTTGAGTAAATTACGAAAATTAGTTAAATTAGTTATTTATAATAAATACGTGTTGTCTTTCCTAAAAGATTCTTGCTAATCAAATGTATTGGTTAGAACTACCATTATTATAAGGACTAATAATTTGAAAAAAATAGATAAATATAAGAGACAAAGTAAATTAAAATCTTATATTTAAGATTAAAGTAAAAATTAAATAAATTTTTTATATTAAAAACTGAAGAAAGTATTAAGGATATAAAAATCTCAGCTCTGCCAGTTGTTTGCAATTAACAGAGTCCAAAGACAGGGAGGAGGTGTCTGTTGCCCCACTCTAATGCCCTCTTTGTTGCTGCCCCATCAATTTTATACCTTTTCCAAATTTTTTTGTTGTTAGATATAAAACGAGTTATATTTTGATATGTCCTGAACAAAAATTTTAATTTTTTAAATAATTTCTTAAAGAAAATATACTCTAAATTAAAAAAAAGAAAGAAAAGAAAACAACGCGGATTTAAACATGAAACATTAACTTTTATTCAAAGATAAAGATGAGATGATGAGAAATGAAAGAGAAGGACGAAAATGAGATGATATTCTTCGACAACAAATCTGGAGATCAAGTCCTTTGATATCTCTTCTAACACCGCCGTTGGCAGTCTTGTCTTCGTTTATTGGGATTTCATTGAAGAATCGTACATTTGTTTGCAGGAAAACCAAACCCTCCCATGTTATTATTGGACCCTCTTAGTCTTATCGCGTTAGAAGCTGCAACATTACATTATAGAAATATAATTTTAAGTGATCTTAAAAAATTTGTCGATCCACTCATGAGAATACTTATACAAGTTATATTTCAATAATTTCATAAATATTTATTATTTTTAATATTTTTCTTTACAATTTCTGTACTAATTTACAATTAAAATCCACTATTTCATCCTACTCGCACTAAATAAATGTTATATTATTATGATTATTTCAATGGACTTTCTCTAATTGTTTCAAAATTAACAGGTGAAAAGTCAATTCAATACAAATAAGCATTGGCGTACGGGATTCCCCCCGCCCCCCCCCCCCCCAAAAAAAATTAACTTAAATGGGATTTTTGTTTTTGGTTTTTTTCCTGCGGTCATTTCCACCAAAAGAAAAGATCAAATCTGTCAGCTTTGAATCATGCAATATCTAATCTTTGGACAGAAATCTGAAGAGGTTTCACAAAACCAATATAGCATATCCTCACGTAATTTCATTCATGCTTCAACCGAAAGAAGAAGAAAGAAGAAGAAGTAGAACACATCAGAGCCTGTGTGGTCCGTGCATTGAAAGGCCCTACTCAGAAAAGAAAAAAAGCTTTTTTTTCTGTGGACGAAAATCAAAACTCATTTTGAAAATGGATATACATCGTACGTACAGAGACATATATGGCCAACCAGCTCATGCGTATCCTTTTTACAAACCTGAAACTTCCATGTCCACCCTCTCTCCCAACATCATCGGATAGAGAACTTGCCTACGTTTGCCTCTCAGTCTCAGACTTCTCTGCTTGTTCGGTTCGATCGAACAACGTAAGCTCTTGCGTCATTTCATTTCAGGGACACCGATCCACGACCTCACAACCCTATATGCATGCCCTCTCACAGTACATAACAACACTCGTTGCTCTTTTCTAAGCATCGATCCTTTAACAGATCCCATTATCTGATCTCTCTGTGTTTGCCATGGAATCTTTGCCTTCCATCGTGACGCGTCAGAATGTTGAGCTTCTTCACTTTGTTTTGATACCTTTAATGGCGCCTGGTCATCTTCTTCCCATGGTCGACATGGCTAGATTATTGGCTCGGCGAAACGTGAAGGTGACCTTGGTGACCACACCTCTCAACGCCGTGCGAGTCAAAGCCACCATTGAAAGAGAAAACCAGCACTGTAGCTCATCATCGCCCATCGAGCTTCAACTTTTCCAGTTCCCAAGTGCTGAGGCTGGCGTGCCTGAGGGATGTGAGAGTGTGGACGCTCTGACTTCCATGGACGTGAAGATGAAGTTTTTTAAAGCTCTCTGTAAGCTGCAGCGCCCACTTGAAGAACTCTTTGAAACACTTACTTCTCCTCCTCCCACCTGCATAATATCTGATAGATACGTTCCATCAGTGGCTTCTGTGGCGAAGAAGTTCCAAGTTCCAAGAATCATATTCGATGGAACTAATTGTTTCAACCTATTATGCAGTCACAGCTTGTGCAGTTCCAAGGTTTATGAGAAAGTCTCTGATTCAGAAGCATTCGTTGTCCCCGGCTTGCCTCATAGAATTGTATTAAAAAAACCTCAGCTTCCCAGGACGTTTAACCTAAGAAAACACCAGGAGATCGGTGATTTTATCGATGAGGTAAGGAAAACTGAAAAGGAAGCTTATGGGGTGGTAGTGAACAGTTTCCAAGAGTTGGAAGCCGACTACATGAAAGAGTATGAAAAAGTGACGAAGCAAAAGATTTGGTGCATTGGTCCAGTCTCATTATGCAACAAGGACAACTTAGACAAGGCTCAGAGAGGCAAGAACACAGAATCCAATAACGAGAAGCAAAGCCAACAATATTTGAAGTGGCTTGATTCATGGCCTGCAAGATCTGTAATCTATGTCTGCCTCGGAAGCTTAAACTGTGTACCACCAGAGCAACTGATGGAACTAGGTTTGGGACTGGAAGCTTCAAAGAGACCATTCATCTTGGTGCTGAGAGGAGCATACAAGAGAGATGAAATGGAGAAGCTGCTGAAAGAAGATGGATTAGAAGAGAGAGTGAAAGCAAGAGGACTTATAATAAGAGGTTGGGTGCCTCAAGTTCTGATACTGTCACACAAAGCCATAGGATCATTCTTAACACATTGTGGATGGAACTCAACACTTGAAGGGATATGTAGCGGGGTGCCATTGATAACATTTCCTCTGAATGCAGAGCAGTTTTTCAATGAAAAGGTTGCAGTACAGTTGTTGGAGACAGGTGTGAAGGTTGGAGCGGAGACTGCTATAAATTTTGGGGAAGAAGACAAGTACGGGGTTCAGGTGAAGAGGGAAAAAGTGAAGGAGGCAATAGAGAAAGTGATGGATGAAGATGAAGAAAGTGAGAGGATAAGAGAAAGGGCAAGGAATTATGCAGAGAAAGCAAAGAAGGCAATGCAGAAAGGTGGATCTTCTTGGCTTAACATGTCTCTACTAACTGAAGATATAGCACAACATGTCATGGGGTTGAAGTTGAATCAGCCTCAACCAAGTCCAAATGCATAGACGGTGTGAAATAATGTTGTTGTATTGGCTATTGTTTTTGTTTTTGTTTTTACGATCTCCTAAGGAACATGTTTACGTACTATTAGTTCATATCATGGTTCATATTTTACTCAATTTTATTTCAGTGTTTGGTTAGAGAAAACCTCTGGGATTCCAGCTTTAATTTCTAATCTTGAACCCACACGTACGAGAGCCAAATCACTTGCTAGGATTTCTGATTTCACGTGTTCTTCACATGGAAGAAAAATTCAAGTCACTGTGGCTCACCGACACAACACAAACAAGGAGATAACGGCTCCTCTTCATGTCAAACAAAATGGGACATACTACATTTCAGAACCCATATCTCATTTATTTTGCAAATAGGCCCTAATACTCATTATAAGTTGGGGCCATAAACCTAATGAAGTTACATAAACCTAGTGTGTGTGTGAGAGAGAGAGTCGCTTTTTTGCGTACCAAAGGATAGGTTACACAGCTTTTGGGGTGTGTGTGTGTGTGTAAACTATTATTCAAATAATTAAGGAGAGAAACTGGGACCTCAAGATACATGCGAGGCTAATTCTTTGTGATTGTACTTAAAAGGGTTTTTAATTAAAACATGATAAATTATTTTTTTCAAACAATAATATAACACGTTTATGATTTTCATACAATTGAAAAGTCTTATCATGCTGTTGTCTAGAATCATGCAATCGTTTTCATGAAAACCATACCTAGCTTGTCATATACATCGGACGTCCACAATCTTATCATGTTGTAACAGAAAAGTCTGATGAATTTTTCCCTACCTTAAATTAAGAGAATGCATATCTAACTACTACTACCTCCGATCTTTAATATAAGACCTCGTTTAACTTTTAATTTGGTTCTAAATATAAGACTCCAATCCACTTTGTCTCTTATATTTATGTATTTTTTTTCCAAGGTAGTCCTTCTAATGATGATAGTTTTAGGCAACACATTTGATTAGCAAGGATATTTTAAAAAAAGACAATACATACTTATTACAAATACTAATTTAACTTATTTCCTTAATTTCTTCAAATTAGTTAACTAGCTCTTATAATTAGAACTGAAGGTAGTACCTCCCATTCTTAGTATAATAGCCAGTTGACTAATTTGAATAGAATAAAAAAATTAGTTAAGTTAATTATTTGTAATAAATCGATGTCTTTCTTAAAATACTCTTACTAATTATGTGATTAGCTAAAGTTACCATTTGATAAAATATTTAACATGTGTAACTGTTATAATGACTATTTTGTGAAAAAATAGATAAATATGAGAGAAAAA